AGGACGTTATGGCAGCCCTGCATACCCGATATGGACTGGTAACTGGACGGGAGGACGTGGTTCGACACATTAAGCCGCTCAATCGATTTTACTCTCCCCCGAGATACATATGTAAATCCTATCCTAAAGGAGCAACGACTTTGAGGGAAAATGACAGATTCATGTTTTCAATAAGGAATATTTCAATGACGTCGTTGTTATAATAAAATTATAAGATACCAGCGATTTTCCTACTCCCCCCGTCACCCAAATGTGATTGCATTTGCAAACCCAGAGATCCAGTGGGTGCAGACGTCTGCAATCTTAGTGACGCACCTGGTAATAAACTCATAAAAATATTGCCTATTTGTTGATAAACACTGGCCAATGTGACTCCCGAGTGTAAAACGATGTGGGTAATAAATATTGTTCATCCAATGTTGCCTCGGTTTTGCACAAAATTATAATTGCAAAATTATACGAGTAAAGTGTTCTGTGAATTGTTTTAATGTTCAATCTCACAGAAACTGACAATTTGTGATTGATCAGGTAGCTTGAAGCATCAACTGATCATGTGAATTTAATAGCGGTCTCAGCTTGATGAGACAGATTCGGCATAAATTAGTTATCGGAACCGCAGAGTGCTGTTTTACTGGCTTAGTCAGCCTTCTTTTCGACGCAGTCCGATTATTGAGTGAACTACTGAACGGATGGAGATTCGGCGTTTTTTTCTGATCATTTGGATGATCGAAAGAGAAAATAAAGGATGAATGTCAATTATTGAAAAATTGGGTCGTCACTCTTCTCGACGTTCTTGAATCGTATTTTCCAGCTTCACTGACTTTGGATTTTAAATATCGGCCACAGGCGTCTTCAGCATTTAGCCACACAAAAAAACTAAAATTTGTTGTTGTTCAAATATTTTGTAACCTTTCTAAAATTGAAAATACCATGTTCCACTTTATCGGGACTTTATTACAATGTCTTTCTACTAGTCCAAACCAAAAGAGTGTTGTAGGGCGGAACACTTCTAAACTTCGACGGTTATGATATTGCTTTTAAATCTAATCAGTTTCACTTGAGGTAGTGAGATTTTCCGTTTTATCGTTACAAGGAGAAAAGATTAGCTGTACTCGAAGCCATGGAAGAGCATGCAGCTTGTCATGGAATATTCACTATGCTGCAGATCGCAAAAGCATTTGGCCTGAATCTGGATTGCCTATAGTGAGTCTCTCAACAATAAAGAAATATTGTCTGAAACGCTACTGACATCGTTGTGTTGTTTACCTATTATTTATCAATAAATCTAAATGACAATAAGGCGATTTCCTAATTATAATCATCGTGTAACTTTTTATTCTGTGCTTGAACCCCAAGATTGTCCTCTTAATGTGCTATCGTCGGAGTAAAACTCGTGCAACGAAATGTAAACATGGACCGCATCTGCCGCATGAACTAGCAGAAATTTGACACTAGCAGTGTCAAATATGTAATGTTGAGTTCGTTAGAAGAGTTTTAGGGTAAAAGATATGATGTGGAGTTCGTTGAAAGACCATATGCACGTACCATGTAGCGTCGCCTGATATGTAATGGTAACATTCAATGAAAATATTAAATTTCTTCCAGGAAGGACATTCTGATGGGAATGATGATAGCGATAACGGATGGAAAATAATATACAAGTCCGCATTTTTCAATTTTTGGCTCGCTTAGGGCAATAAAATAACCAATATTTTATAATTAATTTTAATACAAAGTAAAAAACAACAACATTGAGTGCTCGATAGCATATGCGGCTGAAACCAAGAGATCAGACTTTTGGTCTTTTAGCAAGGGCATTTATATCTCTGTGACATCCATCAAATTGATATATGTGTATTACAACCCAGGGGATTTAGGGTTGTTAATTGATTGGTAATCTGGTTAAAACCGAGCTAGATATATGTTATAAGGATTGGACTGCTTGTCTTCATTAGGGAATTGTCGGTATCTAATGGAAGGCGTCGAGGTGGCCTATTAGAACAAGCTAACTGTCGCGTATGATCGATATCACCGACAACTTACCTTTGGTTAGAAATTAGGTTGACATCCAGTGGTAGACCTATTAAAAAAGCAAGCCGATTACGCAATTGGACGAGAAATCAAACTGCTTTCCTTGGGTTAGATTCTTGTGGAAAATTGACCCATATCTTAACTATCTTTTGCCATTGGCAGTAAACTGTCTACCGACCAATCAGATTAAAGTTTGGTGCAAACTATCATTACTCAAGTTACATATTAATTGATTATTGCCAGATTATTTTTATAAGATGAGGCGATGTTCGTTGACGAATTGGGGTAGAGTGCTTACGCTTACAGAAACGCCAAAACGGTTATTGATGAAAAACGAGATATGCCGATGCACTTGGTTAAAAAGAAATTAAATTAGGAAATTGATGTTAATATTTCATAATTCATTTTAATACAAAGTAAAAAACAACAACATTGAGTGCTCGATAGCATATGCGGCTGAAACCAAGAGATCAGACTTTTGGTCTTTTAGCAAGGGCATTTATATCTCTGTGACATCCATCAAATTGATATATGTGTATTACAACCCAGGGGATTTAGGGTTGTTAATTGATTGGTAATCTGGTTAAAACCGAGCTAGATATATGTTATAAGGATTGGACTGCTTGTCTTCATTAGGGAATTGTCGGTATCTAATGGAAGGCGTCGAGGTGGCCTATTAGAACAAGCTAACTGTCGCGTATGATCGATATCACCGACAACTTACCTTTGGTTAGAAATTAGGTTGACACCCAGTGGTAGACCTTGAAAAAAAGCAAGCCGATTACGCAATTGGACGAGAAATCAAACTGCTTTCCTTGGGTTAGATTCTTGTGGAAAATTGACCCATATCTTAACTATCTTTTGCCATTGGCAGTAAACTGTCTACAGACCAATCAGATTAAAGTTTGGTGCAAACTATCATTACTCAAGTAACATATTAATTGATCAAGAAAGCCTCGCCAGATTATTTTTATAAGATGAGGCGATGTTCGTTGACGAATTGGGGTAGAGTGCTTACGCTTACAGAAACGCCAAAACGGTTATTGATGGAAAAACGAGATATGCCGATGCACTTGGTTAAAAAGAAATTAAATTAGGAAATTGATGTTAATATTTCATAATTCATTTTAATACAAAGTAAAAAACAACAACATTGAGTGCTCGATAGCATATGCGGCTGAAACCAAGAGATCAGACTTTTGGTCTTTTAGCAAGGGCATTTATATCTCTGTGACATCCATCAAATTGATATATGTGTATTACAACCCAGGGGATTTAGGGTTGTTAATTGATTGGTAATCTGGTTAAAACCGAGCTAGATATATGTTATAAGGATTGGACTGCTTGTCTTCATTAGGGAATTGTCGGTATCTAATGGAAGGCGTCGAGGTGGCCTATTAGAACAAGCTAACTGTCGCGTATGATCGATATCACCGACAACTTACCTTTGGTTAGAAATTAGGTTGACACCCAGTGGTTGACCTATTAAAAAAGCAAGCCGATTACGCAATTGGACGAGAAATCAAACTGCTTTCCTTGGGTTAGATTCTTGTGGAAAATTGACCCATATCTTAACTATCTTTTGCCATTGGCAGTAAACTGTCTACAGACCAATCAGATTAAAGTTTGGTGCAAACTATCATTACTCAAGTAACATATTAATTGATCAAGAAAGCCTCGCCAGATTATTTTTATAAGATGAGGCGATGTTCGTTGACGAATTGGGGTAGAGTGCTTACGCTTACAGAAACGCCAAAACGGTTATTGATGGAAAAACGAGATATGCCGATGCACTTGGTTAAAAAGAAATTAAATTAGGAAATTGATGTTAGGCTATCAGTTTCTTGAATAAAAAAACTAAATATGTCATTTTTTATGCAAAGACCATTGTAACAGAAAAATGTGGAAATGCCATTAACATAAGAATAACATGGTAGCAATGAAGAAATAGGATTCTCTTTTGGATATTTATCAAGAACAACGCGCACCGTCAGTTTCCGTCATTTGATTAGTTTGTGGACAGATTATTGCCCATAGCCGAAGAATAGTTCTTTGAAAAAAGATTTACAGCCAGCACACTTCTCGTGTTATCAATGATCAGCTGTTGTGGGTTATTATAACATCTTAAAATTGGCGCCTATTGGATATTTATCAAGACTTTTCGTGTTATCAACGATCAGTTGTTGTGGGTTATTATGACATCATAGAATTCATGCCTATTGATTATTTATCAAAAACTACGCGCACCGGCAGATTTATGTTTTATATTTTCCCCAAGCGTTAATTTGATCATTTTGTGGACAGTTTATTGTCAATAGCCAAAGAATAGGTCTCTGAAAAAAGATTTACAGCCAGCACATTTTTTGTGTTAATAACGATCAGCTGTTGTTGTTTATTATAACATCATAGAAATGGTGCCTATTGGATATTTATCCAAAACGACGCGCACCGGCAGTATATGTATATTTGGTTGGCTGTATATGAGTTGGCGGTATATACATATTCTTGGCAGTATATGTATGGCACGTTACCAACCTTATCGGAATCAATCTCAGAGGGGGTCTTTCTTTCCCGCAATTTACGCCCCTGGCTGTTGCTTCGCTGGATCTGCAGACTAGGACAACAAGAGAGCTGTGCTCAAATATATGGACACGTCACAAGGTGTCGATATTTTTTATTCTGACACATAAAAAACGAATCTCTTGAAGTCCACAGAAATTAATAGCCTTATGGCAAAAAACTCAATCTTTAACCACTGAAAATTTCAAAGCATTTGGTCCTGTATTCGAAGAGAAAAGCGATTTCCTCATGACGAAAGGTAACAAGAACAAGAGAGCTATGCTCAAATATATGGACACGTAGCGCCACATACTTTGATGACGTCATAGTAAAAAATAAAAGTAATAGCCTTTGTCCAAATCGTGCCAAAGAACAACAAGAACAAGAACAACATAACAACAAAACGATCGTTATGTCCACTAAACGTGTCCAATAATATTGAAACGATCGTTATGTCCATTTCGTGTCCAACAACATCGTAATATTGAAACGATCGTTATGTACACTGACGTGTCCAAAAAAGATTGTTATCCGTTCGCACGCGTCAACAATTGGTTGACGAAATAAATATTTGGTAATATTTACAGAAGGGGATGAACAATCTTGGTCGCCTCCGTATTTGCTCGTTTACTAACATTCGTATAACCGTAAATATATACCACTACGGTATAACAATAAATAGAATATCGCAAACATAATAGCATATAAGATGTGTGAATGCATTCACAAACATTGTCTTGAGCTTCAGTCATTTTGCTCTTCGAATTTGTCAGCTTCGAGTTGCGTCATACGAGTCCTGCATTCTTGTCTTACGATAACATACAGCATTTATAGTGCACGCAGCCTTATGCCCTTCTTTCTGTGTGCGAATCGTTCAATGTGACTAACTCCAGAAGATCAATTCGGGCATTTGTGGTACTCTTGATAATCTGATCCTGGGAAGCCTACTCTTATCTTTGAACGCGTCGATAAAGTTTTGGCTTTAGCTTATTTCTTGTTATTTACAGGTGTGCCTTACACCTTGAAGATTTGTGTAAGCGAACGCTATGCGTTTTGATGTATGCTATGGCTTATGCGATGGGTCTTCAAATGTTACCATTCTGCTAAAGCTCCCGACCTTCATCAGTCCGGTCGACGTAACTAGATACAGTATGCATTTAGAATTAATATTGACCTTGCGACGTTGGCCGTCCTCACATTGGATACTAACGGAAAATAAACTAAGGCGAACAAACGGTGTCCTCATCCTAAATGAAAAGGCATAATAATATTTTTACGCTAATGCGTTGATCAAGGACGCAGGTAGAGTAAATATTATTGGTTATAGAGCGACCTCAATACTGGATCTGTTTGCAAATTCGTCGAATCTGTCAACAATCAAATCTTTAGAATGCCAGCTGGAACATAACTCACTAAGCTTAATTAGAACGTATGTGCCATTGCACAAAAAACAATACGGAATACAGCAATCGGCATTTATGGGATATAAATAAATGAGGTAAATACAAAATATAGGCAATGTGTGAATAATCTCTTAGGGGCATAAGCGTATCAAAAATAATAAACCATGGCTCAATATTACGAATAGTGATCGATTCTTCACTTTTCGTCATCTCGCTCATCGTCACCGTAAAGGATTCTTGAAATATCTATCTTCTGTTGCGAAATAAATTGCAGGTATTATGAAGACAGTAGCAGGGAACCACATCTAGTGGGAACGACACGTAGATTTACGTTGGCGGTGGGATTATATATATCAAACGGTTCCATAATACTTGTATAGTTGTATTCGTCTGTTGTCTTGATATTGCAATGCATCCAACTGGTTTATATTCGTTATTTTGAACAAAAATGGGGCATGAAGTACTTTCCCCCATAAATACGGTGATATCACTGTCCTTCTTTATGTTTCCTGCAGAAGTCCCGTTTATATTTCAAAAGCGTTTCTGAAAAACAATCCGTGCATTCGACCCATCTTGATCAACGTACTCGTCTGCGGAGTTTGATAAGTCGAAGCATACGAACCCGGTCCTGGAACTTTCTGAATGTTAAATATGACAATGATTTGATCATGGTCATGGTCCGTTCTGGAGATTATTATTACCTACATATAACTTGGAGGCACTTTCAATTTTTAATTTACGGTATCTATCACCAATAACTAATTAATTGTTATAGTCAATATAAAAGGATTTTTGCATTCTTTCTCGTTTATAGAAGTCTTGTTAGCTATATTTCTATTTCTTTTAAAACAGCTATAGTCTCCGAAGACTGACGTTTAACCCAATCTTTTGAATAAGAGAGGATATGGCTATAGGCCCCTCTACTGGCATTGCGTTAGTGCTCTTTAACTTGCTGCTGTATTTTGCCATATATTTTCGGGTATAATTGTTATTTATACCCCTCCATTCCTAGTATTTCTTCTATTTAGTAACTAATTTTGAGAGATATATTTATTGAAAATTGCACAACCCACAAAACAAAATATTTAATTTTGCGCATTCAACGAGTTTATAGTTACAAAAACATATATTAATGCAGTGTGAAGACAGCTGTCTTGTTTTAAATTTAGACTTAGCGTTATTACTTAGCGTAAGATATTACCGTTTGAGATGTAGAAAATCTCGGCGTTCTTGATACGAAACTTGATGATATTTGACACTTAGTTTCTTGGTTAGCGGGGTCGTAATAGCCAGGAGGAGGACCTTCTTTCTGTCGAAAAAAATCGAGAAATACGTAGTTATATATATATATGAACAACTGAATTGGAATAATAACCCATGTTTTTAATCATTTGTGGCAATATGAACTCTATAAGACATTGTTTTTAATTCAGCGGTTCATTTTTCATCGCCTCGAACAGTACTAGATAGGTGAAAGTAATAGGATGGTATGACCTTTATTCTATGTTGTCATTTATGATTAATTTAAGTTCAATTGTGTATGGGATACTACATACCGGTACAAAATACTTTGCTGGGAATCGTGGAGACTGTGATTTGAAGGATCCGTGGCCTGAAAAACAACATTTTAATCATATCAAATTTTTTTTATGTTTAATAATTATATTTGTTTCTTCGACAAAACACAAGAAATATTAGACGAATGTTATCAAAAATACTCTACGACAACCGTCGTTGAGTAAATGTAAAACTCCCACAAATATGCCGGTATTGTCCAGTGCTTTTTGCAAAGGTAAGTAGCTTACCAACCAACTTTACTAACCATATGGGTTTCTTTCAACTGGCTTTCGCACTGTCTCGTACTGCCATGGTGCGGCGTTCACGTGTTTATCTTTGATCCCGGGCAAATTTACGTGCTCTAACCGGAATCTTTGAAGGTGTACGTCAATGGAAGTTTTTCGAGATTATAAACGAAATCCTGATACTCGTATGCACCCGGGAGTAAAACTCGCCCATTTTTAACAACTCCCCACTGCTTTTTTCGTCCTTCGCCCTGAAAAAGCTTGATTGATTTTCTACAGCAATTGGAACAAAGTAGTACGCAATGCTCTTGCCATTCCTTGCTCAACAGTCGAAAAAATGACAAAACTTGCCGCTAAAGCGCCATTCGCTGTCAACGCTAAGTAATGCACCAATATATATTTGTAACGATCTCAAAAGGTTACATACATAAAATAATCAGACATAGAATCTACCTTGAAATTGGTAAGTCGCTTTGATTTTATTTAGTTCTTATCTTCTAGAAAATCTCGAAATTCATATGTTCCCCGGAACTGGCGTTTCCTGTAAGGAAAGGCTCGTGATAAGTTTGTTCATTATTCATTGTAAAAATTGTATATTATACTGAATGTACTGATCATTCCAGAGTTTTACCGCGTCTTGAAAATTTATGGTTGTTGATATCAATTGCAACATGGGATAGGGTGTAATGCCGCCAAAAATCTCAAATCGCAATAGTACAATCTTTGAAAATGCATTTATAAATAGTGGGCCTATAAAAAATATATACCTAATCAGTCATTAGAAATATTTCAGTAATTAATTCTGGTCCATGTTTAATGCAACAGTACCTTCAGTGTAACTCTCCACCATTCTCTGTCAGTCTTTGGCGGTTCAAAAGTATCTTGAGGAGTTTTTCTTCCCTGCACGAAAACAATTATAAGAACATATTTGAATTGTTGCCAGGTTGGATGCGGCAAAAAGGACACTGGTATATTCACAGCAGAGTCATAATTCGTTAGAGATGGTTAGTCCATGTTTATTTTAATCCCTTATTTTTTGTGGTGACAAATAAACGATTAACTGACTGACTGGTATTGTACATGGCCGTGATTCATCCTTATCCACATTTCATGAATGATTTAATCACAAACTATCTTTCGATTACGACAGCTTATTTTTGCTAAAAATAATCATGATACGCATGAGTGCTAGTGTGTTTTGGTTTTCGATGTCCTGATTCAAATGTAGCTTACAAAAATCGTTTATACGAATCTTACTTTTGTGTAAGTTGAATACAGGCGACTTGACTGCGTTGTTACTAAGTCTGAAGCCAAAGTATTCTTCCGGCTAACTCCGTGACGTGATTTAATATTGTATGTCCGTTTCATTTTTAAATGAACGAGTACATGGGACCTCCTTTCAAATCCCACTGCACTAATAAATACTGTACTGTATAGGGTCAGAATTATTTACTCTAGCATTGCTCCTCGTAGTTTTTATCGTAATTAGATAACAACGCATTTGTACGATGCAAACTTGCTACAATATTTTGGTGCTACTACAATATTTTGGAAAAATAATTTTCTGAACTTCGCCCTTTATGATCAAACCTCGTCATTGTAAAATGCACTTCAACGTATATATTGGATATATATTTTGGCTGATAAATACACGCCCGTAACCCACTGGGAAGAGTTTAAGTAACCAAGTGGAAGAAAATCCCTCAAGCTAATTACAGAGTAACTTCATTTATGTAGCCATGTATGAAAAATCGAACCTCACCGCTAGATTACTATCTAACTGTGATTCATACTAAAAAAGGCATATGCATAACGACTCTTTTTGCGCTATACTCTTTACATTGTTCAGTAGTAAAGACTGAGAAATAGAGTATGGCAAGTTTATGCTTTGGTCAGAATGCTGCGTAAACAAAAATCTTATGATCGGTGGAAACAATTCATCCTTGAGTCTAAGTCAATATTATATCAGCAAATTTTGAAAAAACAGAAAGCATTAACTTGTCGAGTGAAATTAGGTAATCAATATATATATATATATATGAAGCTTAGGGTATCTTATGATGTTAAATGAAAATATAGCTCATGTTTCAAACTATTTATCGCAACAGAAACCTTTTCTATATATTCCATTTCAGAACTGAATTTTTTTCGTAGTTACGTAGTTTACATCAGTTCCTCATAAACATCTTAACCAATTCTATGTTAAATTGCGCCTGCTCAACCAACAAACTTATATAATATAAGCAATTTTTAAGCGCGAAAGGACCTAATGAAAATTAGCTATTGCGCTGTCAGTGCTTTCAGTAATGTCCAAACTACAGTTAAATAAAAAATTCCAACATTGTATATCAGGATGGATGTTAGCAAATATTTTCAAAATTAATTAGACCAGAGAAATAGTCAATTTATCGTATGTCATAGACCTCCGCTGTACAAACTCACAAAGACCTGCTCTGTGTATTGCTGTTTAACGTTCTGATTTTACAACCAGTGCTTGTCTCTTGAATACACATATACAGAATAGTTTTTATCCGAGTTACACAAATAGTTAAGTAGACCAATACAAAAGCCTTAAAGGTTTACAGTAAACCGCCAAGCAATTACAACCGTAAAACGAGACGCTCCCTGCTGTCCATGTTTAACATGTAGGCGGTAACTCTAATATTACATCTTTGAAAGCCATACACCCACCCACGCGTCAACCAAGCCGAACTATGAAATCCAACCAAAATTTGTGCACACAATTTTAGGAAATTTTGGCAAATATTTTCATTGTTTATCAGAATTTACTAAAATCCATTTACAAAATTAAATGACAAAATCAACTGTTAGGGAATAATTTATTAATTAATTATTAGCAAATTCACATTCGTGTTAAAAAAAAGTATGCCACTGTCATTAACGTATTTCAAGAAACATTTACCCCATACTACGTTTAGCATGTTTGTTTTTCGATTTCCGACCTTCACCAATACACTGATAGACGCTACGCCTTATGTATAATTCAATAACCAAGTTGAGCTTGGCAATGTTTTATGATAAACCTACCGACTTTTGCGTTTCATAAAAGGTTTTTTAAATGAGTGAAAAAATAATGATCGAACATGATTGCTTGATAGACCATTCGCGCCGTTTCGGCCCGAGCTTGTAGTCTGTTCCGTACAGACGATTTCTGCGACAATGAACCTTCAATTGAACTCACCCGCCTTGGTATTGCTCGTAGTTCTCTCATCGATAACACGTCACGTGTTGGTGGTCTTCTTGTCCTTGAAGAATGGCGAAATAATGGTGCAGTCTGTGACGTCATCATGAAACTCTCAATGACAAATCGGCGTATGCTATTAACTAAGGAATAAAAAATACATAAATGAAAACAATAATTTATACGGAAAGCTACTACTATTTTGCGTTTGATAAATACTATAAGATGCCAATTATTATGTGGTTTTATTTATCCGACAAGCTAACTTTTCGATACATATTCGCATAAGTACAGCATACTGTGCTTGTCTGGTGGTTAAAATAATAATAACATTAGGTTTTTATGTACTTTTATTTAAATTATCAATGATTCATTCGCCAAAACCCTGGCCTCCCCCGGCCCTTAAAGAAATATTCGTTACATTCGATGATGAATTCAACGGTGATTTGGTCTTATGCAGATATTCAATATTGCATTTACTACCGTATTCTCAGTTCCTGCAATAAATTCCTGTGATGGCTATTTGAATACGTCCATATATAAGGACTAACTAAAATTGTTTAAATTTTTTGCTTACATCATATTTTGAGTTTAAACTGACTTTTTGAAATCTGGAGCGGCATCAAACTTATATTATCCTATTTATTTTTCAATACACAAAGGAGGTTACATCTGTTGCAGTCTTCTGTCCTACTGTTGTATAAACACGTTCCAGTATTATATAAACCAAAGGCTGGTCCTTTCATTCTACACAAAGGGCACCTGAATAATGGGTGTTGCTACCGGCGGCGAACGACCCTGCTTTGAAATGAAGTCACCCTTTCGGTAAAATAAACTTGTATCAGTATTGATTGCCTTTGATCAAGTAAGAATTATGAGATAATTCCATAACAATAACGAACCACATACTTGATCAAGGATGGCGATACCAAGTGAAGTTAAACTGTCGATCTTTTGGACTACAACACATGGTGAAATCTTATATAGCGATGTAAACAACGATTCCATTATATAGCTATACCTTTAAATCACAATTGAATTTTACAAATGGAATATATAATATATTGCATTTCTTTGATATCTCATTTCATACAGAATGTGGACATAGAAGCGCGTGTCGTCTTTTATGGCTCTATGCCATGCGATATTGAGTTAAAATAACAAAAAATCAAATGGCGATAATATTAATTTTAAATTAATCGAGTTGCATCGTTATGATTGATAATTTGATCAAAAATGACGCTGCCTATAGTCGGTATGGATTTCTAAATCTTTCACCATTAATATATTACACATCGCAAAGCCAAGCAAACTCTCTTTACTATCTTGACGTATTGTTGCGTTTATTCGGTTGCAGCTTACTTTTGTGCAATCAGTAGTTATCAACTTCTGAGAGCCTGCCTAGCTCCTACGTTATCCTAGCTAGGAGCTTTCGTCGAACCCCAATTTGTTAAAACCATGGGCGCAACAAGAACAAAGGGCCACGCCAATTTTATGCAAGGTTATAGAAAATGCAACCGCCTTCGATTGACAGAGTAGGAGTTTGTTGCGTTATTATTGTGGAAAGATTAAGTTTTGAGGGTTGAATTTGAAAATATACATTCCCGAAAGGATATTAATTAACTACCAACCACCTGGTGCGCCACTGACATAGCAACATAAATTGCAACATAAGAACAACTACTCATAGTCGTTCTTTCACAAAAAACTCCTCGAAATTGCAAAGAGTTTTCCGGACAAACTCATTGTGGTGTAAACTTACATAACCATACATCGTATCGAAATAACTTTTGTTGTGCCACAATATTCTCCGCGGCAGGGTGGCTTGTAGGCAGAAAATAAGAGTGTGGCAGAAATGGGGGAAAACTACCAAGGCAAAAATTACAACTTCGGAAATGCGAAACTAAAACGATGTATTGAAATCGTCGATAGCCCAAGTTATTCACATTCCAGACATTAAATAACAATCTGGATAAAAGGATCGTTTTAAAGAAATAGAAATACGGTATGACTCATCAGCATCATTAAGGTCGTCCATGACGGGTGATGATAATTTTAGGCAAAGTTCTGCCATAAAATGTTCTTTGCTGCGAATTCTATCATTTATCGAATTTCATATATATACGCCCAGATTTCATATTCATTCGTGTACACTTACATCTGATTCAATTTGTGCATAAAAATAAGCTACATTTTATTAGTAGATTTTGAATATGAACGTTGACGCGAATATTCAGCTTAAAATCATGAGGTTTGTCATAACAACATAAGATATTTCCACAAGCAAGAAGCATCTAACGCTATCATACAGAGGTACACAAAGCGTGCGACAAATGTGACAATATAACAAGTTTTCAATGAAATGGGATATAAGATATTAGTATCATCGACAGTCGCAATAAAACTTGTATCTATGCGAAACTGCACATAGTTGAGCTAAACGTGGAAGTTTGGATGTCTGCGGTAAAATATAGTGTTAAATTATTTCAGAGGATTTTCGTCGAATCCCCAAAACAGCTTCACCCAACCCCAGGGGTTCGATCGAACCCAGGTTAAGATTGGGTTTAATAGGATTTGAATATTAATCTTCAAATAATGTATATATATGATTTGTCATCACATGCAAGTATACATATTTTTTTTTATTTCATTCACTGAGAAATTTGTTTGCTAAATTAAAAAAAAAATTAACCCTTCAACATATTATATCAGGGGTGGCCAACCAGCTTTCGATCGATCGATCGATCTTCAACAACTCGCGATCGACTGATCGATAATAAGGTCAAACACAAAACCGAATGAGTACTGAACATGCAGATAACTTATACACACACGCACACAAAAATTCCACAGCTGCCAATAAGCTCGGCTCTGTCGGTGCATTCTTAATGAAATCGCCACAAAAATTTGTATTTTTTATGTTCCATTTAATTTGATTTATGTAATTGTACCCGGAGTAAATGCTTCATCATTTATTCAACTAATACAATTCCGATCACAGGCCTGCCTACTTTTTAGGTCGGTATCCATGTATTATCTAAAACAGTGAAACATGAGTATTCTCTAACCATAAATGTTATATGACTGATCAAACTTCAGTATCCAATTTACAATTTCCTTCAAGTCCGATTCTTCGCTCGCTTGGAATTATAAAATATTGGGCATTCTGATGTCACTGCTACTGCGAATTAAATTTATCACACTACTCTTGAAGTGAGACAATACTTTTTGCATATTGCAGAAGTTAGCGTAGGATCGTTTGTCAGTCAAGACGCATGATATTCGACACGTTCATTCCTAAACCTTATCAGACTTGCCCAGACTCAAATGGTATGTGTGTATATCGTTTTGCGCATGTACCAGTACGGTACTGTATTCTTTCTGTTTTAAAACACACAACAGGAGCTGCATGAAGCTGGTTCAAGGCCATTTTGTTATTAAATTCACTCAACATCAGACGCGATCGACTACTCGAGATCGAGACGTGGCGGTCGATCGCGATCGACGTGTTGGCCACCCCTGTATTATATTATGCAATATTAGTAATCTTTTCACTTCAGGTGTGGTCGTATTGCAATCCTGTTATGAGCAAACTTAAAGTAAGGAAATTTAAGTTGATCCACATCTTGTAAAGATGCTCCGTATTCCAAAGCTTCAAGACGGGTTTAAAATTTAATTGTTAAACACCAACTGTTTCAATTCAATTTGCGTCTCGAAATATTCCCCTTTTTAAATCAATCACAATATACATGATAATACACTATCATTACCATAACGTTCGAATGCCATGGTAAGAATATCATACCTTGACATTCTGACCAGCTAATACTAGGAATTCATCTTGCATATATATTGCAATGATTTCATTTTTTCTTATATCTTAGAAAATATAATCTTTATCGAGCCGGACCAACATAAAAAAAAAACGATTTAATAAAATCGACCTATTGTTCCACGCGATTACCGACAAACGGACCAAAATATTGTCGCCTATTATGAAACTGATGAGCTTACAAAAAATTGTGATGAAAATGGGGGAAAAACTTGGAATTTGTTAAAAAAAAAATTTTGACATTTCATTCCGAAAAAACTTCGTTGCTCTTAGATTTTAGTTCAAGAACCCATAACACGCTAAAATATCTACGCTACGCCCACATGGTCTGCATCAGAGGTGGGCACTGTTTTTGGACAAGGGGTCAAAAAGTGTGCCCATCTAAACTAGCGGGCCATGTAAGTGTGACGTAAAAAGTTACAATTTATGGACAATATTTACAGTGTTACAGGTGGAAAACAATAAGCCTCGTGCCATAACTAAATTTGAACGCAATCTTATCAAATTCCGTGAGCTATTTTTAACTAAGACAACAAAAGTTGTCAGGTCTACATGCTTACAATTACTTTTTCAAACAATACGTTTAAACAAGTCAGTCATGTTCTAGTAATAAATTCAGCGCTTCACCGTCTATTCCAGAACATCACTGAAACGTTATCAGGTGTAAACTATAACCGACTGTTAATTACAGGTATAAACTTTCTTAGCAATCTTGTAATTGCTGACCAAAAGTACTGACCAGTAATTGGAATAACATAATCAAATGGCATGAATCATTATTATCGTTTGCGAATAAAAAAAAATCCCCGATATTCCTATTCGGTAACCCATGCAAGTACTAACTGAGCCCGAAATTGCTTAACTTCCAATCGGGTGTAATTAATGTGATTGGCTCTCAGACCACGGGGGCAATTTCTCTTCGTATATTTATATTCAATGGCCAGCGTTCAGAAGTAAAGACCGATGAAGCGTAAATTTGTAAACAAAGTTCATTCAAAATATATTGGCAAAATTAATTATAGATATGTTAACCATCTTTGTCACATTTTCGTTGGTAAGACGTAGAATAGACACGGCAAACAGCTATCTGTGTTTTTAACTTTCATACTTGTATTTCTAATGCTTTTGCGTAGGCCTATATTATTCAAAAACACTTGTTCCGCTGGTTCTGCGTGTCTCACTTTTATCCTGCTGTCGCAGGAATGAGTCTTGCTTTTACAACACTAGTATTGGTTGTCCCACACGTGTCGTTCCTATTTCAAATCTGTCTTTCTTGTATCAAACTTGTCCTGCTTGCCCCACACTTGTCCTGATGATTAAATCAAATTTGTCTTGCTTGTCTCACACTTGCTTGGCATGCCCCGCATTTGATATGCTTTTACCACACTTGTATTCCTTGTCCCACTCTGCTCCTGTTTGTTCAAACTTTTCCAGCTTTTTCCACTTGTCCCGCGATTGTCCTGCTTGTCTCATATTTATTCAGCTTTTCTCAACCGTTCCCGATTTTCCCTGTTCTGCTTGTCTCACACTTGCACTGCTTGTCCGGGTTGTCCCACACTTGTCCTGCTTATTATAAACCTGTCCTGCATGTACCAAACTTGTCCCATTTGTCTTGTTCGTCTCTCACTTGCACTACTTGTTCCACCTTTGACTTACTTTTAGCAAAATTGTTAAGCTTGTCCCACCCTCCTTCTGTATGGCGCACACTTTTCTTGCTTGCTTCACACTTGCCCTGCTTGTTCCACAATTGTCCTGCTTGCGTCATACATTGCCTGCCTTGTTCACACTTGTCCTGATTGAATAAAATTTGTCTCGCTTGTCCCGCATTTGACTTATTTTTACCACACTTATATTGCTTATCCCACACTCCATTGATTCTGCATCTTTCTCGCTTGTTTCACACACGCTCTCGTCGTCTCACACCTGTCCTGCTCATCCCACTTTTCATACTTGTCCCACTTATAAAACTTGTCCAACACTTTGCTTTCCCAATTTAATATATACCTGGAAAATATTGAGCTAGGTGAGATGCATTTAGACGTATTATAAGAATAACAAGTTAGTTTTTATTGGACGACAACTTTTGATGAATTGCATGCACCTAAGAAAAACATTCGAATAATAAATCTCAACTGCCGAATTGGGATAAAGATATATCTTTATTTTGCAACAGCGGTCGTTTTAGATTCCTTATGCGGTAAGAATATTTAGCTGTATCCGGGATTAGCCAAAATCTAATTTCTAATTCATAAATAAGTAATATTATAAAATATTCGATATATTCTAAATGATTCCATTACATTTGAACCCGCGTACATTTGAATTTTGCAACGTTTAATATGAAACCAACTAACACCTTTTTAACGACTTCTCTGTTGCAGTAATTGTCAGTTGCAAAAGTCCGCCCTGCATCCCTCGGATAATGAAGCCACCGCAAATTGATACATCGTTAACAATTCATGATAGAACATATTCGCCAACAATACTTCAATAGGCATTTCTTGACCATGTTCACGAAAACTATCAAGAGTACTTGCATGTATTCAAAGACGTTTAAAAAAATCGGTGGAGGTGCTGCATATTATGTACCTCAATTGAAAGTGGAGAAAAAAAAATTTACATCGTTACCTCGCATACATCGGAGCTATATGCAATACTGCTGGTGGATCGCAAGAACAAGGCCGGAACGCGTATTAGCAAGTCAATAAAAGATTTTTACCACAACTATGTCACGACTCGAGAACGATAATTTATCACGTAAATATCAAGTTCTTTTATTCCGCCTGCAAACCAGTCATCGCGCCCTGAATGCTCATTTACATAAAATTGGTTGCCATTCCGATGAATATTGCAAATAATGTTTTTTTGCACCTCAGACCGTATCCCCCTACCTACTGCATTGTCAGTAATATCATCATCAGAGAATCCCAGTCATTCGCCAAGCCAAAAAACTTAAATTGGAACTGACTTTGGAAGAAGTGCTTTGTGACATTGACATGATTGGCTGAATTTGTTTTGTCTACGGGTAGAAATATTTAGGATCAAAATTTATCATAATTAATTTATTTCTATAATCTATTTATTTGTAACTATTGCATAATATGTTAGTATAGAATATTTAATTCAAATTGATAAATGGCGCAAAATACCACAGGTGTTATAAAAGTCATAAAACATATTAACAACAACAACAAGTCTTCCGAAGATGCGGTTTCCCCTCACCGTCGTAGTATCTGTATTTCTTGCTTCTTTGGAATTATTCGACGTCATTTACCGTAGAATTGCATGAGCACATATATACATTGTCAGTACAGGTAGTTAGGAAACGTGTTCACTACAATATTTGTCGTTGGTTATCTAAAAAATTTATACAATTAAGAAAAAGTACTTTTCCACAATGCACTTCGATAAACCTACATTCTCAGTTTGCAATAGTCTGCAAACTCACTCCCAACAATTGATATATTATTTCCAACTTGATCGTCACAACTTTACAGTACTTTATTTATATTGTCATTCTCTGTCTTGACTCTCCACGCCCCGCCCCAGCCGCCCCCCACCCCACCTTTCATAATACAAACCGTGACGTGCTTCTATATATATTAAATTGGGTACCTAAGTTGAAGTGCTATCAAGCACGGCAGGTGATCAAATCTTGATTGTCCGATCAAAACATTATATTTGTCCCCGGGCTATCGCCTGCAACGCGAACAATGGATTGTTATGATCGACTTGTTTCGTCCTAATTTACAGAATCTGAGTTAAATCCGGTTTACAGATAATAAGATTTAACTAACATTTTTGCCAGATTACCGAAATTCCATCAACTTGTATATGATTGTGCCTACAGCGTATACTAAAAGCACACACTAAATCAGAAAAACACTCAGACGAGCTTTAATTAAGATAAGTCATGGACCGTTTTGTAAATTTCGAAATATGAGACTGGATTATAAGGTGTTATATGAAAAGTTCCGCGGATTATTAAAGGAAAAGTCATGTGAAATTACATTATTGTCGATTTTTGCAAGGTTTCAATGAAGATTGCAACAATAGGGATTTGCTGACGGTATATACCCGCATTGTTATAAGCAACGACGACTCCACGGATGTTTTATTTATTGCCAAAATAATGAAGACGCGATAGAAATACAAGCAGAAGGATGAAACGACTGCTTTCACAAAATTCACATCCCGACGTATTGAGAATATAGTGTACTAAAAGATGGGGGGTTAATTTACAAATAGCAATAAGAACGATTAAAGCCAAAACTGAAGATAAGTATTTGAACAAATTTATTTGGGCTGAAAATTCATGATAATCGCTTATTATCTTTTGCGTTTTTCGGACTGAATAAGAATAATTTACAGAAAGATAGTTTACCGACGATAGGGTGTCGGCCGGCGAAATAATCACGCCGATAAAAGTATTCATCGTTATTTCATTCATTCATTACAACAAAATCAGTCGACGTTTCCGATCTTTCTGCGATTTCTGAACGGAGTATATATCGACCCTCCACGTCCTGGCCTCAAATCGACTGTAGGAAGTTTCCGGTACTGCTTAAAATATTTGATTTCCCACCCTTAGTTATTTGGTTCGTGTGTTAATGTATATTTGGGAAGATATGACAAGTTGTAGTGTTTTATCAACGCGAAAAGAATCTGGTTTTGAGTTGAAAACAATTGCTCCAAAAAGTTGTAGACTCGACTTTTGATCCGCGACTAGCCTACTCCTATTTTACGTCAAGATCGTACTGAACTAGGGAACAACCAGCACTTAGAAGAACCGGCAAACTTTTGCAAATCTTGAAAATTAAACCAAAGCATATGAAATCTGTGAAAAAAGCAGAAAATGTTTATACGGAAAGTTCGAGGAACTGCAAATATTTGTCCAAGTTCCTAACAACTGATGTAAAATAATCACTGAAGAAGGTTTGCATGATTTCTGTTATGTTCTTTCGTATTGGTATTTTCAGCACGGTAAAAAAATGCATTTAATTTAATTTCGGGAATAATTTAGGATGTTTCCTCTTCAAAATTTGAGCATTTGACATCCAGTGGTCTGGAAATAAATAGGCTTCATTCTACTTGATACTTTTAAAAACCAATCAATCTCAACTCATCTGCATCATTAAATTAAATATTTACAGATTTTTCTTTTCGGTAAATTATACATGTTGAACAAATTGTATTGAACAAGACCAATTTGGAATAGGAATTTAAAAAAACTATTTATTTTTTTCTTATACTAACTATTTATTAATTTAAAAACATTTTGGCTATCCAGTTGAATATCTTATGTCAGTAAAAAATGTAATTTATAAAAGCGTACATGTAACTAAGACATTCTGCTGAAATGTTCGTGTTGATATTGTTTTAAATTGATAAATCCATTAAAATGTCAATGAACTTCGTCATACTCTTTTCTCTTCGTCATAAACTTTTATTACGTGTCCATCGGAAGGAGACGATGTTTCATGCCATACCGTCAGCATGTAATACGAGCAATATGTTTGTATATATATGAATTATTTTCACTTTAATATTGTTCGATTATACGGTGCAGAGAAGCAAAAGTAGTTGGAAAGTATATAATTACACACTGTAAACAAATCTGTAATTTTACAGTCGAAAATACGCTTTTTACTAGCCAACCTGAAAATTGGGTTAGCAACGTGATGTGCCAATACGGTATTTTCACTCGTATTCGATCTCTGTTATATATTATATACGTGTTTCTCATTTGTTAATCATGATGGTGGTTGTGAGAGTTACGCAAATACGTTTGGAATGTTGTTTAGTTTTAAAAATGTCTTTTTTGTAGTTGAGGAGATATTCATCCGCATTCAACATCGACTGTAAAGGTCGAAGACATACAATTAATTCACTGTGTTCGTCGAGTATGTACATTTCGTTGTCAAATTACAGTTTAGCTGTCACTGCGCAGTGTATCTTTATTATCCTGCTATGCGAAAATAAACTGTTTTACATCTATCATTCTTATCTCAACGACCGATGAATTTAAAAATTGAGAGGTTTATTGCAGCAATCACCTCACCGAAGGTTAGCAGCTGCATCCTGATTGATTAGCTGACAATACATGAGGGCGAGTTGCCGTCGTATTTACCCCGGAGTAGAATTGATCATAGGCGACTGAAACAGAAAAGCGTCGGTCGCATGTACACGCGGTACCATCACAATAAATACGAAATATTTTTCTTGGATTACGTCAGTATAACTGAATTAGATACTCAGGTGCAGTTAGAAATTTTGCCAAACGACAGTAGTATGACAATAGTACAATAAGTGCCCTATTCCAAATATGAATGCTAGATATACCGCGCGAAAAAGACTTATAGTGCACGAAAGATTAAAATTTATAGTAAGCAAAACAATAGCATCCAAGTCAATCCAAGATATCTACTCAAAAACGTTCGGAATAAAAGATATATATTTCAAATATTTGGCGACATTCTTAGCAACTTTGCCTATTGACGTATGAATGGAAAAGCCACCAGTGCTTGTGTATTTGAAAACAACTAGACTAGCTTAAAATAAAATTTGATGCGCTAATAATAACTATTTATTTATTCTTAGTTTCGTATTGTTTTAATAATAGTTTAAATCTGTCCAGCGAATATATTTTTCTACACGATGGAGTTCGAAAACGTTTTGAATCGCCTTGGAAAATTCGGTTTTTTTCAAAAGAGAGTTTGTGTGATGCTGTTTTTTGCAGGAATTCCAAATGCATTTCCCAATATCATGTTCACTTATACACAATACCAGCCAAAGTTCCATTGTGCTGTACCACCCACCTTTGGCAACGTTTCAAAGGTATATTCTTGCTTACTTTAGGCTTGTTTAATAGGCCCAATTATTAGAATTATCAATTAGAATTATTTTTTTGGTGCAGTTGCTAACGTGATTTTTAATTATTGTAGGCTGTATGAACTTGGGTATTACCTTCCCGCACTAGCCCGCGAAAAGAATCTTAAGTTAGTGTTTCAGTGCTAAGCAAAAAGACCAAAATTTTGTGAAACTAAATTTCATTGTGTCACCTGATACAAGATAATGAATGTATTAATGATCTTAGAGTTTTTGCAGAATTCCACTGAATATGAGCAACTTCTCAACCTGACTGTACCATGGGAAAGTGATGGACTTGGTGGAATGAGGAGAAGTGAATGCGAGATGTTCGATATGGCTTCCTACAATCAAACGAACTCCTCGTTTTCCTGGGAACCCAAGAAGATACCGTGTACCAATGGTTGGGAATACGAAAACATGGATACGGTTACATCAGAGGTACCTATTTTGTGAATAATGTAATAAGTAGCATAATTACTATGTCATGAAACTTGGATTTCTAAAAGGTAACCACCATTTTTCATTTATTGCATCTTCAAATTGAAGTGGTCAGTGAACGTCACTATGGCTGTGTAATGCTTATTTGTAAAGTATATGTGAGCATCGACATAATATTCCAATTTATCTAAGGAGGCATGACGAAGAAAACTGCTTTCACTATCATTACAAAATGTTCACATAGGTTTATAATCACACGATTGGTTGTCAAATGCTTTGTTACATCTCATTCCGTTTTTCTTATTATATATTAAAAATTTCTTATTTCCATGATAATTCGAACGACTTGCTTTTAGTCATAGCATTTAAACAATTAATTTGTAATCAGACGGGAGAAGTACATGACTTTGTAACATTGAATATCACACTGATTTGATCTAGATTTTTCATTCTGTAAAATTGTACATCATTGTCCATATTCACAGTACTTCTTAATTGTAATTGACGGGCGTTCAACGTCGCAATCAAATGCCGTCTATTTACCTTTTTAACAGTTCGATTTGGTGTGCAAAGGGTCGTGGAAGCCTCCATTTGTTATAACACTTTACATGATAGGGATGGCACTGGCAGCATTTTCTGGAATATTGTCGGATAAGTATGGAAGCGCTCCCATTATTTAGCGGCTATTCCGCTTTCGTGTGATTTGGATAGGTTAAAAGATTTTTTTTCTGAAACCATGATGTCATTTTATGATTCAATCGCTAAGTATAAGTAGTAGTTTGATCGTTACAAAATATGATATAGAACTAAATCCAATTGCATTTTACGATAAATATCATTCAAAGATTGATTTTCAGATTCGCGATATTTTGTCAAATCAGCTGGCTTCGAATAATATATAAATGACAGATGATCATTCACATATAAAACTACACATTTTATGAAACTCTACAAAATTTACACAGCCATGCAGCCTATTCTGTAGATATCGTGGTTCAGGTTCAGACTAGTGCGGTGATTGCTTAGCTATTCGTGGTATTGCTCGTCAATGTCTTGAGCAAATATACAGAAAAGTTGAAATATACTTATAATTTATTTTTATATTTAGATTTGGTAGACGACCTGTATTCCTGTTCTTCACGTTTGGGCAATTTTTGATGACCGGTTTGACAGGATTTTCTTGGAATTTCGAATCATATGCAATTTCCACTCTTGTCGTTGGATTCTTCGGATTAGTTAATTACGTCGTTTCCTATGTTTTTGGTAATAAATCATTTCCTTGTTTTCACTGTTTGTTTCCTCCTTTGTACGTATGATATGTAAGCCATCTTTTGAAAACAACAAAAAAATTATGACTTGAACTATGTGTCACTGATAAAAGGCGTGTGAATTTCGAATTATGTATTACCTTCTAGGATCGTGATTCAAAGAAGGTGCATACGAAACAAGCACGAGCCCAATAAACAGGTACTATGTTGTGTACTGTGTTTAACAACATTCGAACTGTCTCCTTTGCTTTTATTTTTGTTGTATAATGCAAATATATATTTTATTTGCGCAGCCACTGAAATGATGGGTGTGAAAAGACAACTAATGGTTGGAATGTTGTGTTGTATCGCTTACAGCGTTGGATACACCATGAGTCCTATCTTGGGATATTTTTTTCCGAGCTGGAGATGGTATTTGAGGTCCAACGCAATTCTCGGTCTATTTTATCTTCCGCTGCTCTGGTTTGTAATATTTTTATTACATTGTAGTACAATACAACATATCACAGTCGGTTTATATATTAGTGTTTTGAAATCCACTGTAAAAGTAAAAAATAAATTCTACACTGACTGTTATCAGGACAGTTCATTTGAAGATTGTTTCAATATTGAAAACATTAAAAATATTCAATTGTTTCAGGTTTTTCCCAGAATCTCTTCGTTGGTTAATGGTGAGTGGAAGAGAAAAAGAAGCAAAACAATTGCTGAAATATATAGCAGATACGAATGGAAAGTCTATTGACGTTGACGATATTTACAACGAGTTCAACATTGCTTTAGTAAGTGTCGAATTTTTTGTTTGTCACTTTGTTTTGGAAATTATACTGTAACATAAAGAGGAGATTCGTTCAATTTGATTTATTTTTTGTATGTTTCACATACTTGTAGGAGGAAGCGAAGAGATCAAAAAGGACATTAATGTCGAAGAAACATATTGACATGAAAAAAGAGTCGAATTATCTACATTTACTTAAAAACCCGACGATGAGATTGAGATGTGCTGTGCTGTGTTTATCTTGGTTAGTGAATCATAGTACATTTACCGTTTGCAATATGATAACTGTATACACTTAGCAAAGTGTATTATTATTATTTCACTGATTAAATCACTTCCTCACTATACATGGTACAAAGTCTTAAACATCAATAACAGTATTAAGGAGAGAGAGTTTATTTCATTTAAATATTAACCGTGTGAACAAATTGAAACTGCTCGTTCATTTTTGCTAACACTAGTTTGTTTTTATTGTTTTGGATGGCTTTATCATCACGGTGTCATATCATTCACAGGTTTGTCACGAGTTTAGTCTATTTCGCCATTTCACTCAACCCTTCTCAATTGAGTGGAGATCGGCTGATGAACATATTTCTCTCCGGAATTGTCGAACTTCCTTCATTTGTAGTTTCGTTTATACTGCCTGACAAAATAGGTCGAATTAGAACATTGTTCTTCTTTCTCGTCACAAGTGGATCTTGTTGTGTTATTTCCCCTTTTCTCAGAGCAGGTAAGGATAATATATAGTCATAAGCGGGGTCAGGTACCTTCCCAAAATAAAATGAAAACTGGCCACGTTTCATCGAAGAGTGTTACTATTCAATTAATTTGATTAGGTTCCTATTGTGTTTAGTCTGGGAATAAAAAATCCAAGTCAAGTCGTGTATTTTGCTTAGTTTTCAATTCGGAACAAGCTAACAACTAGACCGGTAGAACAAGCGTATCATTTATTGTTAATAATTATTGCTATGTTCTAATATCTCATCCCATCACCTATGATTGTTTACTACTGCACACCGGTGTTGATGAAGGCTGGGCAGCCTATTTTATGCCAATGCGTAGTAAAACGATGTGTAGGAACAAGATGTTCGGCAATTGCGTTATGGCGCCAACTAATAATTTACGTCGTTTTATTCAACTGTTTATTTGCAACCATGATCATATATTATCATTTTCGTTTATTCTAGATTATCCAATTGTTACAACAGTCTTGGTATTGACCGGAAAGTGTGCAATTACTGGGGTATTCAATGTGGTCTATCTCTTAGCTTCTGAAATATCTCCAACTTTGGTTCGTACAACTTCTTTAGGAGTAGCATCTGTATGCGCTCGGATTGGTGGAATAACAATGCCTTATTTGATGTTTGTGGGTAAGGTACACATAAATATATCAAATTTGCAGAAAACTCTGTATAATGCATATTTTTATGTTATGGATAGAATGAGTTCTGTTCCATATACAATTTCAAGTCGAACCATACTGACAACATTCTTTATTGACAACACAAATCTGAGAGCACAAAAAATTCATCAGTAATGGCTCGAAACAAATATACGTTTACACTTCCAACAATCTAATTTTTATTTAGGAGAAAATGATCAAATTCGTTACGTTCCGTTCGTTGTCATGGGATCATTAGCCTTGGTAACTGCAGTTTTCAACATACTCTTCATGCCTGAAACAGCGGGAGTTCCCATGCCTAATACAATAAATGAAGCAGTGGAGAACAAAAGGTAAACATTCAAGCAACCTTACTGTAATTAATCAACTTTGATACGACATGGATATTTCGTTGCCAGTGGGTGCTATGCTCATAAGGCATGTTTAATTCGTAGCTTAGTGCGATGTGCGTGGCTATTCAAATGACGATTGGGAGTCATATATCCATCCCCACTTCTAACTATAGGATTTGGATTTTGAGGTTATTCGGTGTATATCTACCTGTAGTCGTGATCTGAAACAGAGAGCCAAATGCAGCTTACTTTTTACTTTAGTTATAGCTTAATTGACTATAACTACACAGCAGGGGTGGCCAACACATCGATCGCGATCGACTAGCAGTATTATTTCAAGTGAAAACAGGTCTGAAAGAAATTGTAAAAACTCCATCCACGAAACCTATTCTATAAAAGGAGGGATTTATATTTTATATGCGCAAACGCGCGAGGATCTTTAAAGTCGGACAACCGAGAGTAAATTGTATTATTCTCTCTTAAATATTAGAGGAGGCCCTACGCCAACCAAAACCAAACGGTACTATGAAAAATTTCACACTATTGCAACGCAGAATACAACGAATCCTATCATGAAGTTGCCCACGTTTTATTGGCTAGTCATTATTAAAAATGTGGGTTCACTCATAGAATCTAGGGTAAACTAGGTTCCTGTCTAGGCAGAGAGATCATTAGTATAACTTTCCAATCCTACAATCTTTTTTGTGTTTGATACACATTTATTTTTGTGTGTGACTTTATTATCGATCAGTCGATCGCAACATATTATGAAAAATTTAGGCGATCTTGGCCGAGGGTAGATTGGCCATCCCTTTTATACAGAATATCCCCGACGGGAGTTGAATGCACTTCGTTACCATCTAGCATTTGTTAACTCCAACTGAGGCTCAAGTGATCATAGCAACACATCACGCACGAGTTTAAATTAATAACCTATAGTAAAAATGGTTTTAAAATTAAAATACGTATGATAGTCTGACACATAGGCACATAATACTAACGAACGACGACATATTTTGAGGTTGAATCGCTTGCTGCGCTTTGAATGACCTGTTTGTAAATTTTGCACATGTTTATCCTTTCCTAATGCGTATGGTAATCACCATGAGATGTGATTACAGATATATATATATATATGATCGTAGACAATCATTCGAAAGACCAATTCGTTAAACTAAAGTATCACACTTCGTGCGAGTTTCTAATATATGAATATAAACTGTTTTATCACAGGATATTCGGAATAAATATATGCAGGAAGTTTGAAGACACGGAACCCGAAGAGGAGGAAAAATTGCAACTAGCTTGAAATATATACATTTATTTATATGAAAATCACTCCGATGAGATTAGAACCAAATATAAACGGTTAAGAAAATCAGATAATCAGACTTTTGCGGTTGATTTTGACGTCGATTTCCAAATTTAGTCATTTCTTTTCATATGGTCTCTCAACTGATTTAATATTTATTTAACAGGATCGAAAATACTCGTTAACGGCAATGTAATTGTTTAATTTTACTGAATGATATATAGTTGTGAAGGGTATTTGTAATTTAAAGGATAATCATGACAGCGACAGCGGTTATCGTGATGGCAACATCTCAACGTGTCGTCCATCTTGGTAATTGCTTCCAATTTTCAATGACGAATTTGAGAATGATTGATGAGTCATTTAACGATCAAACGTAACAGCCGTATTTAAATTTTAGTATCTCATTAACAAATACTTTCCACATTATTCATTATAAATTTTTGAAATTGTAATTATTATGAACATCGTAAACTTATTACAATATTAATCATATGTCTCAGTCGCTACTTTGCGGTAGAAGTGTATTGGATAATTAGTAAAAGATCAATGCATTTTCTCATGATTGCTAAAGATCAGGAATGGTTATGGAATTTTGTATAAAGACAGAAATTGTGTAAAAACGTTTTAAATACAGCATTACTACATCTGGTATGTGTGTAGAATTTCAACTAACTATCATTACTTCTCATATATATCTTTCTTAAATTTTATTCTGTAATACTTTTTCATAAAGGCTGTCTTTGACATAATAGAACAATTTTTTTTTGTAATTCATTCTTTATTGGTACGTGGTGATATTTACTAAAAGAGGTTTGTAATACATTGCACGAGATAGAAAATGTGTGTTTCCTAATAAATCAATATAAAATCGTATGTTTCATCATCTGTAATAGGAATAAGTAAGACCTGGCAATAGGATAGTAAGTTTAAAAAAATATTGACGGATTGTATATCAGAGAATGGTGGAATATAACTATTTTACAGTCGAATCCCCAGTATTTTGATGTCTTGTGGATCTGTCATTTCGGTTCGTGTTATTTTAAACTCCCGTCCGTGCAATACGTAGGTGTTTTCACAAATTCTAAGAGAAGTACACACAACAACTTTCCGATGATAGAAGCTTTCTGTCGGTGTGTATTCACTACAATGCTATGTGCTAGAAATTTTTGAAATATACATTTAGTCGATTACTTTTACCAATAGTAGAAACAAACAGATGTACGTACCACGGATGCTGAAAGAATTTGAGATCATTGTTAAAAAGAAGATGTAAACCATCATTTAGATATTTTCCTTTTGATTCTTGTAAATCTCATATAAATTGTATAGTAAAGTAATGTATCGATGGCTTAACAGACTTTTAGGCAGGATTTCATTCGACAATTTGATGACTCTGAAGTTTGTACCCACTCGTCATGTACTACCTCATTTCGTTACATTACAAAGTTCGTATATATATTATATAATATCGATGCGAAATAGAATGTTTCATGTTATATTAGAAAATATAATATATATTTAAACTTTACGAATAAAATGCAAAACAAATATAGAAAAAAAAATTAAACAAAACATTTGGAACAGTAACACCAACTAAGCTCAGAGCAGTTATAATACTGAATAAAAAATATACTCAAGTGGTTTTTAAAAACGCAAAAGCATTCAAAAATCTTCAGAAAAATTAACACGTTTTGTTTTTTGCGATGATCCGGAGCTAGCTCTTGAATTTGAAGCTGTATCCTCGTTCTCATGTTGATCTTCCAGATCTAGTGCAGAATGCTTGGGTGGTTTTGACAGAGTACCTGTTGATGGAGTCTTGCCAGTGAAAGTATGAATAACTCTCCTGCGCTCAATCAACTTATTAGCAACTCGTGAAAGTGCACCAACTTCTTTTGACATTCCTATCTTTTTCTGAAAATAATCGGGAATCGTCACCTGGATAGGTTCATCTAACTCTGAGCAAGGCAATGTACTGTAAACAATCGCAGATTTGTCAATCCATTTAATATTTGCGTTTATATCTGATTGTTTATGTCTTTGTTTCGGTTTATAATTTATTCGGCCGAGTACTTTACTTGTTATTCCTTCCTTTTCGATTCTATCATACATACATCCGACTTCGTCAATTTTCTTGAAAGTATTTGTAATAGAAAATGGTCTATCCTCCATCCAAAATGTTATACTGTCTCGCCTTTCTTGTCGACTCAGTCTTTTACCTGGTTTTGCAGCTTTCACCAAGTCTTCACTCAGAGATGAAAACCTTCGCTTGATTTCATCTTCTTCCGGTGGTGGTTCATTTTTACTTTTTAATTTGTTGAAAATACCTGCCGTTTTCCCAACAAACCCAACAGCATGTCTGACCTGTTTCCACTGGACATGGTAACCACCTTTGACTGTGTACAATGTGGTCGGCGAAGCAATCCTTCTGACGTCATTTGGCATCGCGACAGGAAGTTTTGAGTCTTTTATAGGAAATTCAAGATGCCAGTTGTTCTTCTGTCCGAAGGTTCCAATGTACCGACCAGATAATGTCCACAGACGCACACAGCAATCTGCCGCTCCTGATGCTATCAGATTTGCGTCGGTGATAAATGCTATTGACATGATGGCTTTACAGTGACCTCTGAAGGACGTTTGCAATTTTGGTAGAAAATCTGCTGGAACGTATGAATGCTGTTCTCTGTATGCTTCTGCCTGTTTGCTGTCCACGCCTTCGAATAAATTTGTAAAGCCTCCGACTTTCATGCGTTTACGTCTTTCTACAACGTCCTGGCCATTGCAGTAATAATCAATTTTCCACACTCGAATATATCCGCGACTGTCTCCTGTAACTAAAATCTTATTCTCCTCATCAGTCTCCATTTCCAAAATCATTTCTCCACTGTGTTTAACAGCATTAAAATAACCAAGAATTCCTCCGCGCTGGTGAACTGACCAAGCCACAACATAACATGTGGTGGCTGCAAACAGAACTGCAACATTATTTGTGCTCTGGCGAGTTTGAAGAAAAATAATTTTATTTACAGCCTTATCAGAGGGATACTTTCTTAGAGAACCATAATCTTTACTATCTTCGCTATTTCTGAGTTCTGTTTCGTCTTCACGTCTCTCTTGTTTTGCAGCTACAACCCACGGTAAGTGAACAGGTAAATGAACGAAATTGTTTTGTGCAGCGTTCTCAGTAGAGGACGAAACTCTCCCTGGAAGAGTCAGTTTAGCATTCGAACCTATTCCGTGTTTTATTTCCTGAATCGGTAATATGCTAACATGCATATTAAACTTCAATAGAACACATTCTACATCCAAAGACCAAATGTAAATCTCACCATCATAAGACGAAGTTCCCAAAATATTTTCCTGTCGATGATAATCCATGCTTAAAACATCATCTTTGTGTTTCATTCTCATTCGCCTAAAACTTTCATCTGTATATGAATCATAATGAACTGTGACATTCTTATTCCAGCCAGATGATATTATGCGGTTTTTCGCATGCAAAACAGAAGACACTTCTAAAGTGTCGGATGCTCTTAGAGTTCGCAGTCGGGCACCGTTATTAAAATTCCACAAACTTATAGATCCGTTGCGAGATCCAGTGATCAACCGTCGTTTTGTCGGATCGAATGCCATAGCAGTGATCTCAACTCCAAAGTCTGTACAAAATTGCATGGTTTTTGTTCCGGTCTTTAAATCCCAAATAGAAACCATTGAGTCTTCACTCCCTGTAACAAGTTGTTTGAATAACGCATTATACAGAACTTTTGTAATAGGTTTCGTGTGACTGGTGGGGTCTCCATGTTTTTTTATGGTATTAGAGGAAGAAGAGCTTGCAGTAAAAACTCCAATTGCATTAGTACCAAGAATCAATTCCATTCTTCTTTCATTGTAAAGAAGGGCAGTAACGTCCAATCGGCCCAAGTTTACACGATGACCATGGATCGATTGCTTGCACGCATAATCTTGTGAATCCCATATCCTTATATTTTTATCTTTACTCACGCTAATAATGTTATGATCTGACATTCTGATATAAACTTTTTGCACCGGCATTACATGACCTTTCAAAATCATAGTTGACGAATTCGTGACGTACGGATTCCAAACCCGAACGTTGAAGTCACTGCTGCCTGATACTATGACATTCCATTCCGGATCGTATGCAACACACGATACTCCATTGTGGACGCTGAAGTATGATTTTCTGTGCATTTCTACCTTTTTCAATGCATTTCCAGTAAGTTTTTCTGTAATTTCTGCAAATACCATGGAGTTTCGTTGCGACCTGCAGCATGTCACCAAAAACTCCTGCCTCTTCGCATTAACATAGTAATGTAGTTCACTAATCCAATCAGGGTGAACATTCAGAAATCTTCCTACTCGCAAATTATGGATGTGGCCTTTTACAAGGCTTGAAAGTGATATTTTATTGTCGAGACAACTTGGAGAGGTAGAAGAAAATAGTGCAAGACTGGGGTTGTCGTAAAATCTCAACACATATACACTTCCACTTGAGTCGCCCCACAGCAAAATACTCCTGCGAACATTGGAATAATCGAAATGATAACTAAGCGCCAGTGCACAGCAATCCATATCTTTAATCTGGAATTTTTTCTGGAACATATTTGTTGTCATAGAGTAAAACGATATTTCGTAATCGGTTGAAGCAACCGCAATGGTATTGCAATTCGGCATGCATACTAAATCCGTGAACCAAACTGCCCTGGGATTGTGTCTCATGCCGTCCAGGAGTGTGCTTTTCTGCAAATTCCACTCAAGGTTCCAGAGATTTAAAACACCTTCTTTTGAAAGTGTTATATAGCGACTTGATGAATCTTCTAGCTCTACCTTACCATTGTTCCGAATAGTGTACGACTGAAGCAGCTCAATTCTACATATAGATTCTAGATGGTTGCTAGACTTACTCCGCATCGGTTGTGGGAAAGGAAGATCGCTGTTGAACATAACCATGTTCTCCTTTTCTTGATATTCCAGTAACATGTACGAAAGATATTCGTCCCAATCAACTGTTCCATCACAATTTGTGTCAACTTTCATAAAAATCATATCCAGTTCTGTATCATTGATGTGATATCCCATTGTCTTTTTCATTGCAACTCGAAACTGCTCCATGTCTAGCCCTGTCTCTCCACTAGAATCGTTGAAAATCGTTTCCAAATTGCGCAAATCGTCGTACTTCATATCATCATCTAACCTGGCTGGTCCACTGAACGCTGTTGCTTTCGTGGCCGCATTCTGGAGTTTACGTTTGGTCCACTTCTCGTCAGATGGAAGTGAATGTTTTCCTCCAGAACCATCATGCCCGTTTTCACTCATTTTTCTGATATGCTTTCCCAACTTGCACGTGCATAAAATGACAACATGAAAATTCAAATGTGCATTTTCAAATAACTGTATTATGACGTCACAAATTAAAATATTGCCAGATCGCCAGATATGATTAGTTTATTGATCAAATTAGTAATGTATTTTTGGTACAATAAGAATGAATTGTGCTACGGGTACAGCATTGATAGGAACGCAAACGTTGCTAAATTTAGCCCTAATTTATAATCCACAAGGACATAAGTCGCAAGACTATTCAAAGAAAGCACAACGTTACACGCAATTATAGATTACAAAAAGTGTTGGCTATAAATCCGCATATAACTGCATCTGCAAGGGTCTGTGAGTATTTGCTACGTTGTTATGGGCAAAACAAGACGACCTGGCGCTTGTGCAGATATTGGCAAAGGGATTCTTTGTTCCTAAAGATGTGAGCGACCGCCATTCTGGGCACGCTCTATTATGTTGGTGAATGGAGAATAAATCGGAGTTAATGCCTGCTTCCGAAGGGTCGCGCGGTATTACCGGTATTCGAAGCTCGATGTCCTCACAAAGCTGAGCTACTATTGAAACATCTAATTTAAAAAAATTATTCCTAGTCGTTCAAACGCGCGAGAAGCACCACCCAGCTATCAAGAGCTTTTTAAGTCTCTTTGCCGGCGTTATTGCTGGAAAAAGATATTTGAATTTATTTGTATCCTCTTCTTTGTATTTCAATCTGTTTCCCAGCCTTTTCTATGAAGCTAAAAGAAGCAGTTTTCATGACCTCAATATTTGACAGCACCTACTTGTACGAGCAAGTTTTTTCACAGATGAACCATGTCAAATCCCCCGTGAGATCACTAATTTTTGACAGTCGTATATGGAAAATTCGCTTCGCATTGCTGCATCGTGCATCGCACCGAATATTGACAAACTTGTTGGATGAAAGCGGTGCCATACTTCCCATTGAAATATCTATGTGTGGTAAAAACTTTGGACTGTAGTGTATCTTCGTATTTTCATTGTTCTTGTAATTTTGGTGTGAGGGTTTTGTTTGTTTTATCATTAACCTGTAGTCGGTGTAGTGAAAAACTAGAACATAACTACTATGTAAAGTGGCCCGTGCAACCATTCGTAAACTACACGTGGCACTTCGGCCATAAAGATTGGACAACCCTTGCCTAGAGTTTTGCCCTCATACTCTTGTCGCGCTGCTATGTTCGTTACAATGCTAATTCCACATTAAGGTATTCGGAGTTTGTTCAAAGACTGTAAAACATTTATATATTTACATTATATATATTAGATACACATATATTTATATATATGGGAACTTAGCCGACCCGAAAGTTTATGTTTTTAATTTTTTGCAGCCCGAATGTAGTATGTCAATCATGTCTGTTTACGTGAAATGTGAAAAAAATTGTGAGCCCATCGTCATTTCTAGACGTAGCAAACGTACACATTATTTTTGTCTACAACCTAAAGTTCTCCTCACTCATTACCTAATTTAATACGGTGGCTCTCAACCTCGTCAGTGCCATAAACCCTTGTGATTGTGATTTTCCTGAAAAAAACTCTATATATATAAAAAAAAAACAGTACTGTTACGTACAAGTGGTATGGTTAGAGAGCTAGCTTGCCGAGTATCCTCAGCAGACATATCGGACTCCGGTTCGTTCGAGAGAATTTGTGCATTATGTCTTAATATACTCATTCCTTGGAACTTTAGTGCTTCAAGCAATGAAATTGCTCACTTTCCTTGTGCTGGACATGAAGTGGACCTATGGATGAATTGGATACGGAATTTTGTAATTATGTTGTTCTCATTGGTATTTTTCATCTTATAGTTATGAAAAATCGCTTTCTCATTAACCACTGAAATTTTCATTGGTTGAAGATTGTATTTATCGCCAGATGGCTATTAATTTATTTCAAAAGTTTCCCTGCATGGGCTCTATTGATTTCGTTTTTTGTGTGCGATGACGTCATCGAAATTAAAAATTGTGCGCCTTGTGGCGGTCTAGTCCAGTGGTTCCCAAACTTTATTGTACCATCGCCCCCCTACAGTAATTTATACAACTTCATCGCCCCCCGGCACTACAAAAAAATGTAAAGTCAGAAACGAATATATTACAGACCAAACAAATAAGAAGACAAATCATAGTTTATAGTGTTTTTTAATGAGATGGATGAGCTTGGTGGTCTTCAGTGAGTTTTTTAATATTTGGTGACATTTTCGTCAGGCACAATCTCAATTCACTCCTGATAGAAGAAAACCCCTTTTCTACCATATATGAGGTCGATTCCTCATAATGTACCACGGCCTCCAGTCCATAGAATTAATCAGCCAATTATTTGTTTCAGATTCATGAACTTGATAGTGGAGGAAGCCGTAACCGACCACCGGCTACGCCGTTTAGTCTCTATAATTTAGTGAACGCGGACCGTATTATTCTACTCCGCCGGCCGGATCTGGCCCGCGGCCGTGGGTTGTCGACCTCTGGGCTACGTGAACTACATTACAGCGGGGAGGAGTCCAGCAATTCTTTCGCGTGTGATTATCGCCGACGGGATTCAAACTTGCGCAGAGTACAGTAAATATCAAATGTACGCAGAGTACAGTAATCAAGTGCATGATACGCCAGGCCCCGAACAAAAACAAGTTTTGGGAAATCGCTCCCTTCCGTATCGTTTTCGCCCACATGGGGAATCACTGGTGTGGTCTATTGTTAAAGATTGCATACTCCTACTACTTCGTTTTGGCCTTCGTATTCATATATTTGATCATTGCTCTCTTGTTTCTACAACGATTCGACGATATGCAACGCTATACACACTACTTCCAATTACTAACAATAAAGAGACGTTTTCAATAATTTCTTGCTTTTATATCAACACACAAATATGACGCAAACAATCCAGATATCTGAAATTCAGCATTCGGTTACATAACTCAATTTTTGTATTATTTCGCAAAGTATACAAAGATTATGCTGGGGTGTATCATATAAAATATGCAAGTATATGTTTTGAATACAAATTTCCGAAACCAGTGAGCTTCGCCTTCTATTTTCGATATTCTATTCTGGTGTGACAGTTTGTAATTTCCTATCAAACGTCAAGAAAAATGTAGATTCCGTGGCAAACGATATCCCATTACTAATCGTCTAGTGTTAGCGAGCGAATATAACACACGAGACGAAAAAACACAAATCGAAAATGATTTTAATCCGCGTATTCATAAAAAAAAATTAACTATAGACGCGCAATATTACGCCAAAAAGCAACAAATCATTTCTACTTCATTTGACCACTGGTAAAAGGCGTCGTGGAGGCATATTTGAGATATGGTCCATATCCGGTATAATCCCTTCAGACCGTTGCCAGCTTTTTTACCTTAATATTGAGGATGTGTGTATGACGTTTGAACGAAAAAAAAATCAATAAATAACATCGAGAGATAAAATGCAAAACGAGAAATATATTTATAGATAAAGTAATCATTATATAATAATATAATATTAATCACACGGCGAAATATATTAGTAAGTCTGAGTAAGAGTCATCTTTTGCTGAATGGAGTTGATAAAAATACCAAATCAGATTAGTACGGATTCATCATGGAAGATCTCGAAATCTGAAATCGTAATAGAGGAAAAAAGTTGCTTCGAAACAATCGTTAAGTAGAAATAGTAGTTTGAATAATTCTAATAATGTAATGTTGCCTGAATTATTGGAAATGTGGAGCCAAAGCGAGTTCAAGTTTCACACGATCGGATGAATTTGTAATACAGTTAAAAGGCGATTTTAAACACAAGCAAACAATGTTCTCACAAGTTTAGGAAAAATGGGTACGTTTGTATTGGAATTTTGATAATTGGCAAAACGTAAAACATAATAATTACCAATCAATGAGAAAATACACGACTGCTACAAAATATAGTTCAACTTGAGAATTTTACGGATATTCAAAAATAATAGATTATAAGCCTTCAAGGACTGAAACAGTCAACACAAATATAACCGGGCGTGTAGTCGACCGTTTGTTGTGTTAAACGTTTTATTTTTAAGTCGCTAGAATAAATAAGACAAAGCGAAATATGCTCTGCTGTGTATGTATGTACAGAATTTGTCAACTTGATAAATATGTATGTAAATTTCACTACACCTTCAACGCCTCGCACACTGCAAAAATGTTGTAAATGAGGGATTTCATTGTTATAAAAATAAATAAATAGCATGTAATATATGTACTCGTATTCTCGATGAGTTGCACTGAATAAATTTTTCATTATCATACGCTATAATTAGGAATTTGGATCTATTCATAAATTATGTGTAATCAAAAATAGCACATTTTTCGGTAACTCACTCACAAGAGTGTGCATTCGCATAGAGAACCATGTGAAACATACTCACAATGTAGGAAAAATAAGAAAAATGCACTGGCATTTTTACGATCTTACGGCGTTCGTTAACTATAAATGCTATCTGTAAATGCTTCAATTTGATTTTACTTGATTTGTGTCGGTTAGATGCGGTGCTACATCATTAGAAATTGACAGCACTTTAAAAGTACTTTAAGTCAACATTCCGTATAGTCATACAAAGTCAAAACTTGTAACAGCCAGAGATTTTTTCATTTTTCGCACAGTGATCATTTCGCCTCTCGAAAAATACATGGAAGACTTCGCATATTCATATTCATTGCTGAGAACAAAACAGCAGAGGCGCAATATATGTATTCTCTCTCCTAGTCACCTGTATTGTTTTACAAAAGTGCAACTTCACGTAATATTATGAAACACTGATTCTTTATAAATTCACAGCTGAGGTTTAAAATTTTTTATAGTGACGTCGTTCGTCGTGACAATTTGAAAATATGTTCATCTTTTCTTTGTTCGTTTTCAGTCGCGTGTATTAAAAAGTCGTGATAATGCAGTAGCTATCCAATGCCGATAATACGACGTACAAAACCCAGAAAAATACAAAAATAAGGCTAGAAATAATTTTGTACTTTCGTGGGCCTCCCAGTTCAGCACCGATCTTTTTGGATCTGCGTCTGATCAACAAGATCGCGATTGCTAAAACAGCTAAAACGGAAAAACAAGTCACAGAAAATGCAAGATTTCCAGGCCTAACATGGAACTGCTTCTCATAATCAGTTGTGCCCATAATAGCCCAATATACAGCGGCTATTGTCCATGCAACCCCGATTCCCAAAAAAACGTTAACGGCGTTTGATCCAGTAACGTTACCGATTGATGCATCGGCGTATTGATCTCCAACTGCCGCTACCTTGCTTGCAAAAGTGTCTGTAAGGCAAAAATAAATTTAGGTTTATTTAAATATGCTTAACGGTAACTTACAGACGGGAAACGAATATGAAAATAAGGATTCTTAAAACAATCAAGACGCAAAAGTTGATTATTACCATAGCAAGTTGAATAATGCATTGGCAGGCAAAATGATTTACAGCATGATTTTTATATATAAAATTTTGATGAAAACATTACAGATCCGGGTGTGAATTGTCAACACATATTTTTATATTCAAATGGCATAACGATATACAACATTTCTGAACACATAGGATATGACACGTGTACACATATTTTTAGTCAGTTTAGCGACAATGGTTTTGCTGACGTACGTACGCAAGTTCGCTTTCCCCGGATAAATAAATTTTGTTATATACGTAAAAACGTAACATTTTATGATGTATTTGTACACCAATATAAGATAACTGGATCTATCGGTACCTTGGTACACGATACACGTAGCGTCAGAACATTTAAAACAAGATCGAGCATGGACTGTAGGGAAGTCGAGATCGAACATTACAGTCGAAAAAGGCCAAAGCTTGATATATCAAAAAACACCAAACAGTTCACCATTAATATTATATTATAAAAATAATACTATAAAAACACTTACCTGGGACACTAGTACCCATCGCTACCAGCGTGACAGCAGTAACTGCGTCGTTAAGGTTAATGGTGCAACCGAAATGTGACGCAACGTCACCGATGACTGCTGTCAAAAGTCCAATAACCAGTATGGAACAGGTGAAACACGCCCATCCTCCAAAATAGTCAGTTGGTGGCACAATAGCAAATAGAAGCTGAAAACATAATTTTATTCGTAAAAATGTCGGTAATAATGATTCAAAACTAAAATAGTGAGTGGGTCGAAACTAGAAAACCAACAGCAATGCGGGTCGTTTTTAATCCACACCGCTATTGAATATGAATAATATGCTTCAAAAAATGGGGTAATTTGCGCACATCTGTATATTTTAATATTAACAGAGGATACTAAATAAGCATATTATCAAATTGTACATACATCATTACACACAATGTAAGTTCACATTATGAATTATATTTAGAGTCAATTGTTTCATATTTTATATAAACATATACGTAATAAGTTTATTCATGCATCCTTAATCGTAGTTTGCATAAAAAGGTCGAAATTTTTGCCTTGGTTGTATTTCGTGTCATTAGTAAACTCGTGTGGAATGCATGGTGTACGATGGTATATTTATTCCTTTTCATACAATTTAGTAAATATGAACTTATAGATAAATTTTCTTTTCCATGCGACACAAATAAACTGGCAAAGACTTATTCATGAATTTGTCGTATTGAAACCAATCGTATTGTATTGAACTTAAAGTTTCTTGCACATTACATGTGAATATTTTTTTCTACCTAATTCAAATATATACTATCGACCAATAACAATTTCAGAGAACATGAATCATTTGGCTTAGATGTAGAATACGCGAAAAACGAGCTGTGTCTCAACGACGACATTCTCCATCAAACTCCATCTCATGCAAAAGTGAACGTAATTTTTATTCGATCAAAGAAATGAAAAATCCATTGAATAGGAATCGATAAAACAAGATAAGTTGCATAATTTAGTTTTATACCTATAATGTCACATCATCTTTTTCTGGAATTTGATGTTTTCCACATACACCACACACAAATATGCTAAAAATTGCTTATAGGGTTAGATCAGGGGTGGATCAATATTTTTTGGAAGAGCCGCATTCAGAAAATCTGTTTTGTGAAGGACCGCATTGGAAAAAACACCTAATTTTTCATGAGATTTCCATAAAATTCAGTTGACAAAGCAAGGTTACCCACCAACAGTTAATACCCATGCACGAAAAGAATAATGTTAATACGATTGATGTAATGACTGTCATCAAACAATTTATCAAAATGAGTCGAGAAGTTTAGATATTTTTAATAAAGTTTAGAATTATAATTAAATTTTGTATGTAGTTGTAAGAATTTTACACTATAACATCCGAGAATTTTACACCTTCATCCGAGGGGCCGCACAAAATACGTCGGCGGGCCATAGTTTATTCATCCCTGGATTGTACATGGATTGGTCATTAATAAATCAGCTAAGTCGAGACATGGTCATATTGCAGCCATGGATATAAATCCTATTTAAGCGAATTGCGTACGTTTACACTAGCCAATCTTGGGATACAGGTGCATAGGGACTGTACAAGTACCGGTATTTGAATTTTTCTAGTGCAATTCTTTTAAATGCTATTGAAAGGACATTTTATGTGAAAATCACAAATGAACATGAGACAGCTGAAACGCATTAATCGATTAATGCGCCAACCGAGATCTTATCGCAGCCATAATAGACATAAAACTACGATTTGCTCTTCTCCCTATTTTAGCAGAGAAAACTTTCAAAAACTCGTTAAATGATTGAAATCTCAATGCGTTCGTTCTATTTAAATTTTGAATATTTTGACAATAACAGCTTCCTATATTATACTAGTAGACTGGGGACATGCGATATAACTTGTCATAGAAATGGAGTGATTCAAATTCAGCATTGACAAATTGACATTAAATACAAAAATAGTTCAGTTATACATCAGCAAAATCCAAGGAACAAAGTTTCAGCCAAAAAAGCAAACTTCAGTAGTGTTTTTTCTCCAAAGATACCTTTTGAATTTTATATTGTTCACGCAATAAGATTCGATAGCTATTCTCAAACATTTCAAATGAGGCGATCAAATCATCTTTATCATTTAATTGCAGCATTGAAGGAATTATTCACTTTCAATGTAAATTTTCCACCAATCCCTGCAATGCTGCTTTATTTTAAATTGTTCGCGGAATAGCGGTCTACAGTGTGTCAGACGTTACAAAGTTATATATCGATTAACACTGACATCAAAATCGATCAATATACTGTAATTGTTTCATGGTATAAAGTCTGTTAGAACAATCAAACATCTTCCCATATAGAAGTTTAAGAAAGCTGCATGAGAACAAAGTTAATTAGAGGAAATCTATTCTGCAAACATTTTCAGATCTGATAAAAATATTCGGTAATCGGTTCCCTCAAGTTATCCCAATAAAATAGAATTTTGGTTTCGTTTTGTGTATAGAGTCACGCAGCGTTTAGATGGAGTGCTTGAAATATGTTCCATCACCCCAACCACCCTTCACGAAAGATCATATTCCTTAATTTACTGATTGTTATCGATTAGAGAAAAGGTCATAACCTAACTCTCAAACTTTTGGCCACGATTACAACGTCAATTCGGTCAATAATAAAATATTCTCGGTTTATGGAATCTTTTAGGAATTCCACTGAATCATTACCAGAAAATACCCTTGTTAAAATAATCATTAATGTCAAAAATTGACGAATAATAATGATTTTACCTTCCAGAAAACGGTCAAGAAATGCATGACGTAATCAAAAGGTGTTGGATCTTCTTCTGCTGCGTCGCCGTCATCGTCATCACCTACAAGACATAATGATATCTCAGAAAGGTATCTAATTTGCAATAAAATGAAATATACATTGGTACATTTTATGTGCTTGTTATGAGATTTATGACAATAGGCAGAGGCACGTTAGTTTAGAATGATGTAGAAATATATAGGCGAGTTTCGAAACTCTATTCCACTGGGAATCAAGTTTTGGTATGGCGTATGGTTTGGCAGAAAAAGCAAGACGCATTAAGAAAAGACACACAATCTGTTATGTGGCGGGCAAGTGAGTCAATTCAAACATATCATGAATTCCCCGAACGTTTATGCCTTCAACATTTTTAACTGTACCCAAACAAAAATGCCTTGTATAATTTAGATTTTCATTTTTAAAATCGATAATTCATGGGGAAGTATTGATTGAAAGTAGCTTATTAGGCACAAGAGCGCGCGAAACCTTCTGTGATAACGTCACAACGCTTTTACCGTAGGATTTTTTCAAATTCATTTAATACTTAGTAAAGTTAATGGAATTGTATTAGCCAAAATATAAAAGCGAGTGATGGAATTACACGATGAAATTCAATAAAATAATTATATTGTTAATTCAGTCCATTTTATCGGAGCATGAGCTAAAGATAGATCGAGATATTCCTATTTATTGGGCCAAACAGGTACATTTTCTGCATAAAAGATCGTGCGATCACAATATCAATAACATTTTTGCTCTCTTTTAGTAATTTTGCGTCCACGAAATGATCATACAAATAACTCACTAAATGAAAAACAAAGTTCCAATCTTACATTATCCTGATAATTCGCAAATTTTTAAAACTAGATTGACGTACAACTTGAGTTTTTACATGTTCAGCGTTATATTGTATCCTTCTTACTCGGTTGCTAAATGGGAGCCTAATATATTTAAGATAAATAAAGTTGGACTATTGAGAAATTTTATTGACTCAATTATGGATTTGCTGGTCAATAAATTCTATTTATTCATTTTAAATAGTACGATTTCGCATATTCTTTGATATTTTTTTTCTCCGTAAATCATCTGAGTATTCCAGATAATCCGTCTACTTTCCTGTACACTTGGGGTTTACAGAAAGCGATTGCATAAGATAGATCAATTTTGCGCAGAAATTATTTTTGCTTTCCGTGATCTAAAATATAAAGTCATATGTCTTGCGAGGTCAGCTAGGGAATTCATTCAAAATTATAGTTTTATTTTTGTATTTCATTTATTTATTTTCAATCCCCTGTGTTGTGTCCGGTATGAAGGGTCGTTTAATATTTTATAGCTTAAACCTCTGCCATACTATCGAATGAAATACAAAGATCGTGGATGATAATGTCGAAAGTGTTCACGGATTTTAAATAAAAATTTTCAGATTTAAGTGATACGATTATCATCTAAAAGCGTGCTTATAGATCAAAATGTCGTCGTTGAAAGGCCCTCACATACTACGACAACACGATTGATTTTACAGTTGTAAATCTTCGACCGATAGGAATGTCTTGAGCAAGAAAACATTGTTGCAGCGTCACTACAGAATATAGGAGTTAGAAAAGTAATAGCTCATTATAATATTTAATCTGATCAAAATCAGAGTGAGAACAACGCTACGTAGAAAGATGAATTTTAAAAATTAACCGGTTCAATTTGAAAAACTCTATAAATCGCGAGATTCTAATCTATTTTGTTAAATATTCTGGTGTAAAGGTTTCATATTTACTACAACTAAACAGTGCAATCTCTGATTGGTTAATTTAAATTCATGATGAAATGAAAGCTTGAAGTTGCCTTTACTCATTCATCGGGTTTTTATGGTCACGGTATATATTAATCATTCCGAAGTTATTTCGATCAACCCAAGCCATATGTTCCTTTTCACATTTTTTTAAAGCTCCAAGAAATAACAAATAAATAGAAAGATTATCAAGATGGACCTTTTTCCATGCGTGTACCGCAGATCAAACGAATTAGTAAAGGTTTTCCATCGATGGCCCATCACTAATTTATTGCAGATATATTATATCTTTCATCTTGTCTGCGCCTGCCTCACAACAAACAGGATTGTACGCATAATGTTTATTTATCGAATTACAGAAACTCTAAAAGAGTGTTCAAACGTCAGTGTAAAAGCTGCTTGTCAGACTTAAAATGGATTTCAGTGTTTTGACAATAGATGTTTGTAGGAAAGCAACGACAAAACACTAATCATGTCGATGTTGTTTTGATGCTACTGTATTCCTATTTTACATCCCTTTGCTCTATATCCCGGAAACGTCACCACGCAATTATGGAAAAATAATAAAGTTCGTCCAGGTTAGGAAAAAAATTGAATTAATAAAAAAAATCAAATCATGTGCACAAAATTGTCATAAGAACGCCACCACCGAAGAGCATTAAGTACAAGAAGTGAATATAAATTGAATGTAAAGGACCTGATTTTAAATTTGAGTTGTTCATTATATATATGCAAACATACCAAGATACATCGATCGAAAAAGTTTTTACTTCTATCCTGTAACGTCAGGCTACGTAAAAGTTTACACATTGGCAAGTACATACGCACGTTGCGCTACCGAAAACGCATACATTGGGACAATATATGCAAAATATGTGATCGCTTTTTTCGAATAATACAGCGTGTTAGATATCATCGTTATGGTCATGTTAACGTATTCTTTATTACCATTGCTTGAAATATACAAGAGATGATTTTATTATAAAAGGTTGATAAGAATCAAATTTATATTCAAATTATTCGTGTAGCGCGTATCCTTTTTATGGGGAGAACAAATTAGAGCGAGATTTAAGAGACAAATTGATGGCTACGTCATAACATATTAAATAGTATATGAAAAAAATGGATAATTATCACGAATAACAAAATAAAGCCGATTTTAAACTAGAAGAATTCGCTTAAGACTGCGATTTAAATTTCAGCAGATTGTGTCGTTTCATATACCACACTAACTTACACTATAATTCTATCAAAAATCATTTTGCAGTCCATTTGTCCACAATGTTTCGCTGAACGATATGCGTGATACGACGGGGATAGGGCCGTCCAACTTGACCAGTCCGCTCAAAGTTTAGTGAAGTTATGAAGTAACAAAAATTGCGGATACATTCTACAGCCTCTGCCTTGTTAACACATTTACCAATAGTGACATTGACTATTGTCAAGACATCTAAACACAGGTGGTTAATAATGATAATAGTTAATTCGTAAGCACGAACCTCCTTTTACTGACAAAGCGTCCATGAATTGTTCTCGCCACGACGAAGTTCCAACAATAACAGCCAAGTTCGCTTTCTTTATCAACTTATCGACGGTATTCTAAAAAACAAACAATTTTATATGTCATCTTAGTTCATTATTGCGTCCTACAATGACATTTTCTAGGCATGGAATATTAACCGAACAACCGCTACTCGACCTACCTTGAATTCATAACTTTCTTCTATAATGATTTCAATTTTGCTGTTGTCTCCCAATCTTGGTTTTCCTAATTCCGCGATTCTCTTTGCTTCTTCCTTCTCCTCGTCTGTCAACTTGCGTTCTTCTTCCTCGTCCCGTCCATTTATACCAGAATCACTTCCGGTATCGTTTCCTGTTTATCATGGTTAGAAATACAATGTTACAATATGTGGAATTTGAAAAATTGCAACAGTTACAATGAATATACGCGTTTTATCCATTTTAACCTGTTTCGAAAAATTACAAATATCTAATATATCTAGATATCATGTTGAGTTGACCAAATAAACCATATATCCGCCAAATTATCCAAACAGGATCGGTTTTTTCAAATTGGTTCTCAAGTTTTGCAAAACAATATATCGAAATATTCTTCAGTTTCGAATATATCAACATTTATAAAAAAAAAGTTAAACGAATGAATAGTTTTATGGCGAATAATGAAAAAAACTACAATTTCAAGCAGCAGTTACAGCTAAGTCAGCTCAACTATACATTCAATACAAAAACCATGATTTCGAAGCATACTAAATGTACAAAGCCTTTTTACTCCATGCATTATAGGTTAGTATATATATCATGGCTCATCCCAAACCGCATGGTCGACCTGTATATGAGTCCTTCTGTGTGGGATCCGGAATATATGGTTCTTCCATTTCCAGATATAATTTTGATCGTTTGTAATACCTCAGCGTGTCACAAATTGGAACTTCAATTTTCTTCCTGATGTTGTCACAATGCAGCAAGCAGACAGACAAACATGAAAAACACAACACAGCAACGCCATAAGATTACAACTACATTCATGCATTAGTATAAGTTAGCTGCTGTCATTTCAAATGCTTTATATTTAAAGTAGGGGACAATACTATTAAGTCCAAACGTTGCAAAAATTAGTAACATTATATTCAAACTTACTATAAAATGTTGTAAACGCTAATTATTCAAAATTTTAGGTGACTTTTAGTTCATTGTATAGATTGCATATTGAAAATTACATTTCTGAGCCTAAATTAGCGATATATTTCTTAAAAAAGTATTAGGAAAAATTAGCAATTATAAGTAGGTTTTTTGTATTCCATCAGTAATTTGAGCATTCTTCTTTTCAATTGAAGATGCAATGAATCGATGAATTCCATAAATGTAACAGACGTGAATGAAGTTCGATCGAATACGATGCATGCATTGTGCAACAAAACCTACGCAAAAAGTTGCCTTTTATTTCAGTGGCATGGTCAAATTATAAATACTTGAACGAAAAACGTCCAATCGATGCGTCAGCAAATTGCCCTCGGCCGTTATGTTAATCTACTTTGTCATTTTTGTTTCGGTATTTATCAGTTTCCACGAATTACATACATCGTGTCTTGCGTCAATTCATCTTAAATGGGTGTGTAACGCACGCACGTCGCGGCCAAAACACGATTACTAACGTGAAAAACGTTTACGCACGAGCAAATTGGTTGTAGATATTGTTTGCGCTGATAAGTGCTCCTTCACGTTGAAAAATCATATATTATATCAAGATCAGACGTAACGCGGATAACAAATAAAAAAGTTGTTGGTGAAATCTAAACAATAAGGATAAAAAAGGGAAAATTCCATCTATTGTCAGTTATATTCTACAGACAAAGGACAAAAATCAGGTGATAAGTCACGTACGATTACAAGGAAAACCACAAATTGGGAGGTTGAATTACATTGAAATTGTCAAGAATACCAACGCGATATGCGATCGCCGTGACGATATGACATTACAACCACATGCGTGGCCTTATCGGTGCGCTCGGACGTACGTCAAAAATTGAAAACAATTCCCCGAAATCGTAAGAGGGAAGAAAGTGATTCGTTGATGTCCGTGACTGCTGCTCAGCGACAATATATTTGCTGCACCCGGACAGAGCGCATATTCGACAAAATAGCTCATTAAATGAACATGCATTAAGAGGCAAAACCAAACATGTACCGTACTACGAAATCAAAATATTTAGTATATTCTAGTTCTACTGAATCTATAAATTACACTTCGAATATGAAAATCACACCTCAACAAATTTTATGCTGCAAAACAATTCAATATTTTAGATAGGCCAACTGAGGTCACGAACGAAGTAAATATTCGATTGTAACGAATCTATCCGAAAAAGCGTGCACATATTGCGTAATGCAGTGATAAAGCACAAGACAAAATACACAAATCCACACAGAAATCTATACACAGCAATCACGGGTGCGACCCCAACCTGAATCGGAATTGGCAGATTTGACCAATTTCGGTAGCCCCAGTTCGAGAAAAAAGCTTTTGTTCTTTTCATATTCTTCATCGTCCATAATCTCGATTCGAATCTCTTTCCTGTATTGTCGCAAATGATGGCATTTATGATCAGTAAACAGACAGTAATATAAAATGTAGGTAAATATATAAAAGATATATTTACATTTTCCACATATCTTAAAGCTCTATTTTTCTAGACACAAACACATATTTCGATTATAAAGTCTATAAAATCGGCACACCCTCATTTAAAGGGATGGATCACGATTGAGTACTTATATTTTCGCCCAACCCTGCTAGACAAAAAAACATGTTAAATTATGGGTTACAAAATACATAATAAACAAAGCTATATGTCATTTGTAAAAGTATCACCAGTTATGCTGTAGTGATTCACAAAGCCTGCTATCAGAATGGTGCCGATTCACGATGAAAACCATATAAAAGTGAGAAAGACGGCCGTTTCATGTACAATGTACATAGTCAAAAAAATTCTTGAAGTATATTCTCAATTTTTTCAAAAAGACTGCAACATATTCAACATTTTGAGCCATAAAACCAATGATTATCAATTCTAAACGTCATCTTATGTCGAATACTATATAAATGCCTGTTGATTACGAACGAAAATGGCAATATTTCTTCATATGCTGAAGTACTGTTAAATTATCAGTGATATCAATGAATTTGATATTGCGAACTTGCAAGTTTTAGTAATGCTGTGAACAGGTATCAAAGACGAAACAAATAGTTGATCAAATATACAACAGTTTGGGTTAATTTTTTTCGTTCACAATGCAAGGTAGCATATAACACGCTACCAAATACGCACATTCATTGTATAATTTACAATAAGGGTCATGATCATGGCGTGTCACACATATACACACTCGCTTCTTCTGCAAATTCCATGATTGAATTTGAAGCATACGTTCGAAGAAGTCCTCGAAGAAGTTTTTTAATTTAAACAATAAGTCGTGATCGGAAAGTCTCTCTCAATGTTGTTTTAGAACCCATTGTGCAAGTCGACGGTCGTCCCGTTCAATTTAAAACTAATAAAACCTCAAAGCGAAGGATGAGTTAAGTCATTTTATTTCAAAAATCTTCGCGTCGTGTTTGGCGGGGAAACTGCTGTTACGGAAGATGATTCAAATCAGCATACCTTTCACAGTAATTTCGTGACACTAAATTCTTTTTAGAATTTCCCTGCAATGTTACTGACTGGTGAAGTGAACGTCATACGTGGTTGCCACATGGCAAGATTTATTTACGGTCGCTATCACGTTAGACCAACATCTTGCAATATCTATTCAATTTTAGTTATAATACCATTTTTTCAACGTCTCTCTCGGTCGATCATAATGAAATGAATTGTCATTAAATCAATATTTTGCCTCCGCGATGAAATGATTGCTTCAGCTACTACAAGTGCGCTTTGAATTCAATTTAGAACTGTTTCGATTATTGACATTTCAAATGATGTTGAGTTTTGGCTCAAGTACATTAAATGTGAACTACAGTCGGTACATAAAAATCTTGCAGACTCAATGGGCATTTTGCAAAACTATCAATTTCTATAGAGGAGATTTACATTACTTGGTACAATGGCACATCGTAACAGCTCAAAAAACCAAGAACGCATATTTTAATAAGCCCCTATTTTTCGACTAGCAACATCGCAAGTTTCCAGGTATTTCCAGAAAGGGATGGATATTAACCTTCGGACAGCTCAAATCCCTGACCATTTTATGGGTATTTTTAAACTTATTTTTTTTGTCAACCATTAAGCCCTAAATCTTAACTCATGGCTTTTTGAAAGCGTCTGCTAGAGTTCTATTCAGCAATATATCTTTAAAACACACTCATCGAAAAAAAATTTTTGCAAAAAAATTTCAAAAATTTCTAAAAAAAAATTGAACTTTGAAATATTCTGTGTACAGTAGAGGGTTAATAATTAATTCCTAATTAATTAATTTTTTCTCCAACGTTTTCGTCAAGTTTTTCCTAACATAACAATACCAAAACGACTATTATAGCATAAATGGTTATTACTCTGAAATTCACAATTGTATTTACAGTATTGTCAAGTTCAAGGTCAAATTACCGATATTGATGACGTCACAGCTCTTATTATTACTGCACAGACCACCCCCAATGCAAAAAAATTAAATTTTTTCGACGGAAATGCGCGTAGAACGACGTAAACAATCCCATACGCACATTTACGCGGTAAAATTACCATTAATTTTACGTTTTTTTTACATACAAAAAATCTCCATACCTCTGCCAACTATGGAGCAGTCGAAATCATATTTATCAAAACAACACAGCGCCAGGGATGGTCAGGGATAGTTAGTATGACTGAAAATACATGCTAAAACAATAATAAGTCGTTATAAAGGAGTATTTCCTGTCTGAGCTGAGTCGACATTTTCAGACGTCTGACAGGCAATTTTGAAATCCACGCTATTTATACGATTCGCACTTTGCGTCACGGCTGGAAGGTTCTATCGCTTCTCTCATACCAGGGCATTACGTCAATAAACAGCTAAGAGCGATAGTAACAGTAGGTTACCATGAGCTAGCCTTAATAGCGCTGAAAAGCCCATATGGGCTTACCGGCTGTGGGAAAAACACCAGCGCTATCGTATACATCGTAGCGCTTTCGAAAGGTGGTGGTGGTCCTAAAGAAATCTTTACAGTTGTAAGTCGAGGCATACCGGCGTTGCCGAGTGTTTACATGACTAAAATGACGGCACTGTATAAGAATATTGAACTTGTTACGCCATGCTTCATTTCCAGCAAAATTGGACAGTTATAAAAGCATTATTAAAGAAAACGCTGTTAGTAACGCAGATTGACCGCCTTTAAATGTCACTGAAATGTCTGTGGTTGTAAACAAAAGGTCGTATTTCATATCAGCAGAAAAGCAGATTACAGGCATTTCGTTACGCTCACGCATGCGTAATCGAAACGGATTTTGCACGCTTGCTGCATTTATCAAATGTTTCGCACATTGTTTTCGTTAAAATGTCATACACAACTTTCATTTTCACAATCCTGTAGTACCGCACGCATCGTCTTTAGCAATGCTTGTCAAAGATTATTTTCTAGCAAATTTGTTCGGGAATAATTTGTACAGAAATAACTCGTGTATTATCTTTCGAACATAACAACGTACCACTGGAACGATAGAGCAACAGAGGCTGTTACAGCTCGTTTATTAAGCCTATCCGTATGAATATACACTTTTATCGTAATATTATTTTGGTATTTTGGCAAGCTCGGAACCGTGCGACATTTAAAAAAGTAAACACTAAGAAACGTATTCACGGGAATCAACAATTGCTATAAGTTTTAATTAACAGCGGTTTACGCTACAGGTAACAAACAGAGGTTTAATCAGCAAGCGATATTGTCTTAAGCCTTCAGATATAGTTGAGTTCTTTTGTGAAAAAAATTGTGCTGCTCGTGGTCTATGTTCGTGATCAGGACTATGGGCACCGTGGTTAGTGATACGTTTCCGCGTTTTCCTGTTTGATAACGCAGCATGCGAGGATGCCGAGCAAAAAAGTGGTTATAATTGCGTGCATTTCAGTTCAATAACTCCTGCGTGGGTTTTTCTTGCGTAATCTTCGCCTCAAGGTGGTGTTAAGTTACATTCAACACTTTCCGTGCGTTTGCAAACGTCACGCATTCTACGCCGGAGAGTTGGGATCGGCTAAGTCGATTGTGCTAAAGGACGTAAATAGACGTACAAGTAAACTTGCACCTTCAGACACATTTACGCTTAGATATTCTACACTTTGCGGAAAGCGATATTCAATATTGGATTTAAATTGACACGTACCTGCAGATTTGGCTCAACGTAAAAACAAATTTTTATTTTTGCCGTGACCGTGCATGATCAAGTTTGTCTAATTACAGTAAATGACAAAATTATTCGAATTAACGTGTGTCGATGAATATTGTATTAGCAGGGATTTTGTTTACAACGCTGAAAACATCTGTGTTCTAACGCCTTTGGAAAAGAGCATATATTGTTATTCTCCTTACCTTTTAATCTGAATATCACAACTGAAATGAATGGCCTATCAGCAAAAGTTCTTGAAACAATAACAACCACGTGAACATCGTTGTATAGTTTTGTAATATATTAGTAGTTAAGCGTCCTTTTATTTTTATCAGTATTATTTTCCGGACAATATATATATATATATATATATTCTCAATCAGCACTATTCTAAACACAATTTTAGCCGCGGTCCACCAGCAAAGGCTTTTTGAAAACATTCATGCAAATACTCTGTGCAGATATCACAGTCTGCCGCAGCCGACAATGAGGCGACCTTGGGAAACCGCGTACCGGTATATCGTCGATGACCTCATCACTTGCGAGGGCAAATCGGGCGCCAATTCCCAATCAGCGACCGATCTGTGGAGCCTTTAGATGGTCTATATATAAACTTAGGCCGTTAGAATAGACCGAAATGGGAACAGCTGATTCGAGTTAGCAGTTTTACTAAGCCATCGGTGTCATGGGGTCAAAAAAAGAACACGGAGTTAGCCAGCCGTCTTGTTAAAGACATTAAATGACTTACGACCAATTTATAGAACCAATTTGTTAGTGTGGAAAAGGCTGATCGAGTCGTTCCATCGAGCGCGTAGAATTAAATAGATCAATGGTGTCAACGTAAAACCTATAATTTATTGTCGCCAAAGCTGTTTTCTTGGCATGCTATTTAATATCGAAGACTTCCCTGTACAAATAATATAACCAACTTAGCACATGTTATATTAAGCGCTAAATCAAGAAGAGGAACCTGGACTCCACCACGAAAAAACAACATTTTAACATATATGGAATTTAGATTCAATCGTTTTTGCTATTGGTCAATAGTAGAATGAACCCACGTATAGACCAGAAATTAACAATTCTGTCAATTTTTCCCTTGTTCATGGTTATTTCATTACTAAAAAAATTTGTAAGTGGCATTTAGGAATTTTGTATTTATCCGAAACCTACTAATCTGCTTATATAACACAAGGTTTGGCGGATTTTTGATTCCCGATTATCATGCAGTCATAAAACGTTAGGAATAAGGGCTGAAAACGAGCGTATATACTAGGTAACATTCTATTTCTATTTATTGAAATTTTGTAATATCTGAATTGTAAAACATTGAACTTAATTAGTATTAACCATCAGTGAATGATGATGTGTTCTGAAATACTCTACCGCACTTGAACCTGAACCTGGAGTAGGGCTAAAATGGCACCGAGTCGTCGTGATTACATTTTGTGTTCGAGTAATCAATATTGTCCTTTTGACTTGATTCGTGTGTAGGACACGCACCCGGATCAAAAGCTGCCTTTAAAGACATACTGTGATAGGTCACGCCTAGGAAACCTACGATCTCGAGAATCTAGTATTTTCAACATTCTTATCCAAACTTTCCTTGTTCTTGCAGAAATATCACGAAGACGACTTGAAAATGGAAGTTACGCCGCGGGGACTTCATTATTTGTGCAAATAAAACCATAGGGTGAACTGCGACCCATAAGTCGCAATGTAAGCCTAATACATATTATGAATCTTGAACCAGGGTCCATTTGAATATATTGGGGTAATTTATAGTTTACTGCCGCCGCTCAAAATCACTATTTTACATGCGTTAGAACAAACTTATGATGAAAAATTGTGGAAGACAATTCGTTTTGGGAGTAAGAGAACATGACTGTCTGGGACGAACAGATAACATGGTAATTATATTTCAAAAACATATTTCGTAAAAGATCCACATTTCAGCACTGTATATCTGCAAGGTTTTTCACACTTTTGATTAGCAAGAGCTTTGTATTTGAAAAACTGTCGCTAATTCATGAAAAAATAGATTAACGTATGAACGAAAACATTGTTGAGTCCAAGACAACAGGGATTTGTGGTTACATTGTATGGAGGGAAACGCTGTGGCCATACTCGACAAGTTCATTATGTGTTTGAAGCAAAACGTATGTTTTCTAGGAACGACTTTCTTCTGTTAGTATCATGGAAGAATATGTAACCATATGCCATCACTACCATATGTTTCGGATTATGTACGAGACAGGAGACAAAATGATGATATATTATCTACTCAGATATGCAAATCTACACGTAATTCAAGATTCATAAAATGGTTTTAAAGGCAAATTTGAATGTTTGAAAATGGTAAAGATTATCTCATACTCAAAACCCAACCTACCACACATTCTTCCACGCGTCCTGTTATTTCACGATATAATCGCACAGGCAAGGCATAATTCGCTGTTTAGTAACGGACCGGTCAGCTTTTGAATGAATGCATTAGTATATTATTCAAGTGATTCTGACTCTATCATGTACCACTTAAATCGCATTTGATAACCACTTGATCGATTTAATAACAGTTTTACGTAGAATTTTCGCTGATATCTTTGTTGGTTAATATGAGGTTGAAATTGCTCTCGGTTATTCAATATTCAACAGACGTAAACTCAGCAACGTCAGTGCAACGTCAAGATCTTATCGGATCGCAGGCAACTAACATAGTACAAGTTCATATAAATAAATCAAAATAGATAATACAGAATCACAAAAACTTCGTTGAGTTGGGTCAATTCTTGCTGGTCTGGTTATACAATACTGTAGTAATTGAAATTTATATCGTTGCATCCTTAGAAAGAAGACACAATAACATAAATAGACTTGGGTTTTCAAACCCTAAGAACATATATCTTCATTTTCGCAAAGCTGCAAATTTAATAGGAACCAGAACCATATAACATTGAGAACCCCTCACTAAAGTGAAATCCACCGATATAGGCGAAGTTTCCGACAGGGGATACAAAAAATTGAATACGGTCATTTCAAGTTAATAGATGAAACTCGACTTCAATTTTTAGATGCAGCGGGTGGGTGGACAAGTACATTGATTTTGTATTAATTTTAGCCTATGTTATTCTTATACAATAAGTTCTGGCAAACGAAATATATTATTCGTGAAAATTATGAAGACAAAAAACGTAATACAACTCTGTATGGCAGATGTTTCGTGGCCAATGTCAAGAAGCCTCAGGGGAACGTCGTTGACAAACTCGACTGCTCTGTCAAATAGAGTACAGGCATATTACAACGGAAAATGCCCAGAACGACGAGTCAGGCACAGATTGAAACTATGCTAATAAAATTTCAAATTATATACGCTCGGTTGCTTCGAAGGATGTGTCTATGGACTGTGGTAAATTTAAACACCACTACATCGATATGTTGATAAGTATATAAGACTATATTTAAAATACGCCGCATTCAGAAGCCTATTATATATCAATACTAAACTGCCAAATGCATTTCCTACAATTGCTGAGTCCGTTTTATGATTATCAACACGTAAATTGTTGTGATAAAGAATGGTGGGTATGGAAGAACAATAATTGAAAACTGGTGGAAATACAAAATAAGAACATACGATATATACGTATATCTGTAAACTTCGAAATAACTTAATGAATCACTCCCACATTTGTCAATAATGATTTTGCTGTGCGATAGATTATTTAAATCTTACCAAATTTAAAAAATAAATGAAGATTTAATTTATGATTTTAGCATTCTCCTAATGTGCGTAAAAATTGTAAAAACTATTGTAACCTAATCATATATATTAGAGATAATCGACTGTTCCAAACATCATGTCCAAATGGAAAATGCTTAAAAATAAACACAACTTTGCACGCAGCAGTGGTGCCAATTTAAACCAAAACATCAAAAAATTGGGAAGCTATTTATAGTGAACTTTTATGTGGAGAAGTATATCTTTAAAGCACGAATGAATATTTTTCTTCAAATGCTTTATATATATATAGTAGAAGATAGGCTCGAAACTGACATGGCGTTGCTAAATGCAAACGTGACGTTAAAAAGGTGCTAAACACATTCGCATATTGATCTGGCTTGAACGATCCACTCGTCGCAAGTTTAGGTTAATTTTAATTAATTCGCAAGGGCGCCCTCAAATCTGCGATTACCTTCATAATGAAGGTGGAAATTTCCCATGGGGTCCTAATTTTAGCCCTTAATATTGTTCGAATTGGAGAATTCACCATCAAAATCTCATTAAAAATCAAAATCATGTTGCGGTTGAATCAGGTACATAGTCAAACTTGAAGAGTAATAAGAAGCGTTCAAACGTGGTGTTTTAAGTTGGCCAAGACTATTTCGAACAATATATCAAACTTGAATACACATTCGAACATATATATATATATAATTAGAAAACACATACATTGTTTCGTCGTTTTCAAATTCCAACTCCCCGAAGGCATCTACATAATCCTCCCCACCCCCGGTGGCGGTGTGGGCGACAGTTTTGTACGGAATTGTAACGCATCCTCTTGCTCCAGAATCTCTCTTCACTGGAATACTCAGTATACCAACGCTCTCGCTGACCTAAAGATAACAAATCAATTTGCTAACGAAATAATTCAAAGTTTATATGTATATATATATATATTACTGAGTAAAGACTCAAAAGTAATCTTATTGTATTTGGCATATTCAAACATCATTTATCATCAAATACAAAATGACAAATATAATATTGTGACATTATCTCATTCAATATCCTAGTGGCGTATATGACATACACATCCGAAGCGGTATGAGATCATTGCGCTATTCATCTCGAAGATTGTAATTTGGTCGAATGTTTGTGATTTCACTGAAAACTACCGCATTCTTTAAAATCATTCATTTTAAATCATGTTTATACTTCAAATTACAAAAAATAAAAACGTTGGAATTGAATACGATTCAACCATGAAGACCAGATATTCGACATGAATGTGCACATATTATTCTCGCAACAACCCTTCTAAAATAGCATCATGACAAATCTGAAGCTTAATCCAGATCATTTCTTTTCATTTTCAAGTCTAAGTGAATGATATGCTATATATAAAGATTGGATCAATGGGAGGGAAATATTCCCAAAGCGACTCACAGAACTTAGAACATTAGGAAGATCAACTTCAGCGGAGGAAGAATATGATAGCCAACTGTGGGTCTTGAATATGTCGAATAAGATATTGTTATATATCCGTTCCTTCCTCGTATTAATACATTTCTATCAAGCTAGACCGATTCCTCCAAATGAGTTGATGGAAAGGCCAAAGAGAAATTTCGCTTCAATTGGTTCAGCTGTCGAATGTATCGGCAAATAGCGTACCACAAAGCAGATGAAGATCGGTATCATGGGTGTTGCACCTATAGTTAACCTACAGTTACTGCCGATATTGTGGTGATAGAAATTTGATTAATCTTTATCTAATTGTGGCTTCCAGCAAGACGGGAGTGAACTGAAGAACAACCATCATTATATCGCTCCACAGTCCACACCTCTCATAATGCTGATAGCCAGATACCCTTTCAACTCTTGCATGGGGTAAATTATTATTGGATTAAAGCACATTTTTTGAATTCGGTTCACTATTGTCGAGAAAATTTATCGGGGGTTATTGTTCGTATTACATTTAAAGAAAAAAATCTATTCGCCAGAAATTGAGAAAAATACGACTCGAGAAAGCAAAAGAGTTATAAGTCATTTTGGTTTGTTTCGGCTATACATTTGGATCTTTGATTATACACTGCAAATCGATATTTTTTCAAATCAATCAACCCATCATTAATCTGTCTGAAGACATCTTATTAACTGAGAAATTTAGAACAAATATATCACGTTGTGTCGAATAAAAAAAACGTAAATTATGATATATATTATCAATAACCAAAGCATCAAATTGAATTTATTACCTTGAGAGCAGGTGATTAACCATTGCATACCCTAGGACTTATGATACATAATTAAATACTTTTCTGTTGAAAAGCCAGACTCATAACAAATAATGGACTACGGTCAAATATTGATTAGATACAAGCGATGGCCAGAAACTGAATAAAATGCAAAACTTGTGGCAAACTATTGCATTAAAAAGTATCCCATTACCAATCTACAACTAATTTTAAAAGTAAATATTAGTTCAAGACTTTATTGAAAAAAGAAACAACGATAAGAACTACCTAAGAATGTTTGGATACAAATCTAAAATTCGTTTGGTTAAGCTTTATCTGCGGATCGAAGAACACGATGGAGTTTTGAAAATGACAGAAGTCATTAAATATGCAAGATATAAGGTTGTAGACAAATCAACAGTTTTCTGAAAGTGTACAAATTGTACGCCAGGTTAAAATCAATGGACTCTGATTTCCATTTCGAAGCTTGAAATGGCCACAATATCATTTGAGATATTTACTATAAAACCGTAGCAGATTACCATCATTTGCAACAAATTAATGCAGGCAACGGAATGTTGACCAGGCGCGAAGCCCACTTTAAGACAAGTTTTGGCAATCAAATGGCGTTAAATGATACTGAAAATTGCATTAAGCGCACTGCACGTTAACCATTGTATAAAGACAACAAATTTTGTAACAATGTATTATCATTTTATGATTTCACATGACATCGCCGTTCAACCGGAAGAGAAATAAGGAAAGTTGATTGAGTGAAATGCATAATTCAAGACCTCATTAAATTACGGTGACCTCAGGTTTTCTGAGCTGTATTTAAGAGGTTTGGGGGATTAAGCAATTAACCGCACGCCGATCGACTAAAAGTTAAACCATTTTCGTTTGACACCAAATAGAATGATTGCGAAAATCAAATCAAAAATGAGCAAATTGTTATCCGAACTTTCAATCTAGTATATGTTAGACGTTCCCAGCGAAGCACACATTGTTGCAAAAATATTTATTTGGGCTGCTCTTCAAATAATAAATAAAATATTACAAATAATAATATCATTTGAAAAATGCGGTCCTGTGTGGAAAAGCAGGAGCAGGGGAAAAATATGTTGCGTGGCGTTACCATACTAAAATGTAGCGGCATTGTGGAATTTTCAAATCCGCGTGAAGCTTTATATCGCGGTTACCATCTACGCACGTGACGCACTACATACAAAGCAACACGCATTCGCGGATATCTATCACGCATTTTTCAATGGCCCACGGCAAAAGATAAGACATAAAGGATATCAATGTCTTTCAACAAAACAAGTACGCTGATCTATTTCTGGACGTGATAAATAGAAGCGAACAAACCTAATACGAATCCATTGTATCCATAAATTTGCGGACTGAGAAAAACGTAATAATGGCGGATATAGTTACAAGCGCATCTTAGGGTAAACGTGCTCTGCGAGTGTCATAGGCAGTAAAACAAATGTAGGAATGTATCAAGACAATGACAGCTTCAAGTACTGGACATCTCTATGTCGCAATTGCCATTTGAATGACCTCCTCCGCAGCAAACTTATATATATTCCGCGGTATGATTTGTCATAATAGACTTCAGAATATAAATTGAATTACAGAAATCATATTCAAATTTATTTCGATACCGACAGATGTTTGACAGATGCCTATTTGTTGCTTAATTTACATAATTGCATTACAGTGGCCTTATTTGTACACAAACCTTTTGCAACATATGTAAATTTATGTTATATGTCAAAGAAAATGCTGTCGAACCGATATATGGAATATTTCTCTATATTTACTCACTGTCACTGAAGGATCCGGAAAAGAGAAGACACCAGCATGGTCATCGTCGAGAATAACAACGGTTGCTACAATAGGTGGTTCGAGACGAACTGTTCTACTCGCTAGACCCTGAGAACCGTTCGCATTCTCCGACAGCCTAACATTACTCAATGTTACGCGGAAATATTCATCTTCTTCAAAAATATCGTCGTCAATGATAGGAATCTTGATCATGTGAAGTGTTTCTCCAGGCCTGAAGATGACAGTACCCTCCGTGAAATCGTAATCAGACCCGGCGTTGGCAGTTCCATCTTCCGTGCGGTAATCCACACACATAGTGGTATTAAGATCTCCCCCTCGTCTGACCACCTGAAGTAAGAAACAAACATCTTAAAATATATATTAAATTTACGATAGGTATAAGGAAATTAGTCATGAAACGATATAACTCATAACTCTTAACAAAGATGGTCAAGTATTAGAATAAACATAAGGAGTATAAATTTGATAAGCAGTGCGTGAATGTCGTAATAAAATATTAACAGGAGTCATTCACCGACAAATTCCATTCATTCCGAGCTCATTGTTAGGCCTAAATTGCTCATGCTGTTTCAGATCAGTTATTTTACTATTACGATAACCAATAATTGCAAATGCAATAATAACAGAGTAAGTACGTTTGATATTAAATCTGAACTCCAAATATACAATTTTACCTCAAATTTAATAAAATGTCAATAAGGAGGAAGGATTTAATCGCACAAGGATAAATATTCATGGAAACCATATTGAGTGTAAAATTCGCTTGATTTATAAAAGCAATTATTTTTGTTTATGAGTAAAAAGATTCCATTCCCCAACAACTAATGTAATTCCACAAATAAAATATTTTTTCATTTACTGGATTCACTTGATACATATTGGAATAGTATTCATTTCAATAACTACAAACAGCCGTTTCATATATGTCATTATTATTCTAAAGGACTAACTTGCAAAAACTTTATGGTACAATTTCATTAATATTATTTATTGCCCTATTATCTACCTTGAAAATAGATTCATAAACGATAAATCATTTCGAAATTTAATCAAAAATGACCAGTTCAGACACATCAATTTACTGACATTGCGTCACCCAATTTCACTCCAATACAGCGATTCATCAACCGTTATCTCACTGAGTAATTTATTTCATATGGTCTACAATTCGTAGTCTTACCTCAAGCTCGGCGCATCCACAGTTTTCCATTACTTTATATTCCGCGGGATCGAACGAAATCTTGGTAATCAGGTCATCTGCGTCATCAGTCACTATCTGTAGGCTGTCGCTCTGAAATTAACCATGGGTTTAATATATATATTTATTTACCATATTAAACTTGTATATATACTGGAAATATACTTTTTTAACATTATAATCATACAATAAACATTTTTTTTTTCAATTTTTTACATTTAGTTACAAGTCATCACAAATAATAAATAAATACTATATTAAATATGTTCAAATAAAAAAAAATTAGGAAGAAAATTTTTATTCCTTGTGTACGAAATTAAATCTATTTGTTCGACGATACGCAAGTTAAGCTATGAATTTGTCTTCAATTCACGACGTGTAATATAATTTAACAGCAATTATTTAGCGATCGTTCGCGAAGAGCGGCGAACTTAATGGAAAGATACTTCAACTCCCTTCGCCTCAATTATCATTTCCAAATCTTTGGATTTGCTGCATAAAATAAACATCAAGACTATCATATAATATCAATCACTCTTTTAAAGTGAATTTGTGACGACCTTTTCACAATCAAAAATGATCAGAAAATTACTTCTTCAAACGTCTAATGTTATGGGAAATAATAGAAATAAAGTTAATATTTCCAAATGAGTCTGGATGCCTTGATCCAGATCGCATTTAATTTTGCAATGGTACAACAACACTTACAGAGATTGGGCCAACTTGGACAGTTTCTGGAATGCTTTTCTCGAAACATTCAACCACGATGGATGTGTGGGAGCTGAGACTGTTACATTTTGTTGGAGTTGGAAACCAAGCTCACAATAATAGATGGAACTGAAGTCGGCGTGGCTTCAGCTCCTAAACTATCTATATATTTTATAACCTTGATCATTTCCTTACTATATTTTTTTTAATATTTAGTCTGTTACTGTAAGGTTCAAATAAATTTGAATAACAAAAAATAGCAAAATGAATATTGATATTTGGAACCCGTATATCATAGTTTTTAGTCCCACTGCCACAAAACAGCATTTGGGCATGTGGATGAAATTGTATTTAACGGATGAAAAAAATCGACATTGCGACATGTCAGAAAAACATCAGAGGCTGCGGAACCAAACCCCAAATCAGAAGTCAAAAATGAAACTCCGGTGCTGGAGTCGAAACCAATGTTATTTCAAATCCTACCTAGTTTTGTGTATATCAGAAATGACTCAACTTACTCAGTGGCGTGAAATGTTCAAAATAATAAGAATTTTAGTGGTTTCACGCATGATAAGGACGTGGAGTAATTGTAATTTTAAATTTTCCGCAGAAAGATATCCGTTGAGTGATGCCATATTTTAAATTCGTCACGATGCTATCTTGTTGCCTCACAAATTTATGACAAGATTCATGCATAATTCATTGAGTAAGACGGCGAAAGACGATGGTAATCAGTGCCCACATCATTCATTTTTGTGTAAATTTCTTAATTATCAATCTTATAAATTGAGTACAATGCAGCAAGTTCAACAGTTCGTTAAAAACATATTAAATCGCTGATCAGAAAATTTGTTTTGGGGTAAAAAAAAATCGCTTATGAGAAAGATTCATTTACATGAGAAACCTGTAAATGATTTACGGTTAATTTAATATAAAAAGGAACCAACTCGTATTTCATGACTCTCGAGTCTTGTGACTAGCATGTATAACATGAGATTAATGATAATGTCAGTTACAATGCCCAGTTGGAGGCCCAAAAATTGAAAAGCGAAGATGAAACGCGATGCGGTACAAATACGTACATTCAGACAAGATCGCATCTGACGCGTGGTTTATTATACAATATGCGCGTTTTTTCAATCAATAGCAAACTGAACGATTCACTACTCGCATTTTCCTTAAAAATCGATTTCCAATCTACTTCCACGGTATTCACAAGTGCATTGCCAGCCTCCACATAACAACCTTTGGGAAACGTAATTGTTCGATTGCATTTGGGCAATGGCTAACATTTTCTACTCTCTAGAAGTTAACTAACTTATGCTTGAAAAATATAAAGTTAACCAAAATAGAAGGGAAATTTGAAATATGCTTCGCGGGAATTGAAAATTTGCAATAAATTGTTGACAAAACAGCCAAACGATGACACATCAACTGTCATCATAAGTGTTTCGAATGCAAACCAATTCCTTGCTACTGTCATATATAGTTATTGCTACGTATAACAACACATGCACGTGTCACATCTGGATACTTTCAATATACGAACTTTAACGTGGAAGCATACGATTATGATCGTGAGATTGAACATATCCACGCATATCCATGTAGCATAACATATTAGCGACTCATAGATCATGTCGTAGATGTAAGGTGAATAATATTGATAGATTTGAAAAGACCTGAATATTATCCGATTATTATACCTTTTCAGAAGCCCCGCTTGTATTAACCCGATTACACCAAGGGTTTGAGAATATGAGGCGCTTTGTAGATACATAATCCCGAGTTCAAACACAATGCAATTATAATGAGGTAATCAGACGAGCAAAGCCAAAAATCTATAACAGCAGACTCCGTACGAATTTCACGTCACACCAAAAATTGTTTCAAAATGTCACGTTCTATGCATATCATGAATTCCATTAAATCAAAAAGAATGGCCATTTGGAATTGGAATTCTCCGAAACCCTGCTCCGTGGGCTAGGTGTTTTATTGCCCCTTTATTTCAAACAAAAATATGCCATCGGGGATCGATGAGTGCCAAAATTTTTTGAAAATTTTCCGCACTAATTTAATGACATTATGATTGAGGATTACCAATTTAAATCTGATATTGTAACAAGAATTCGAAGCATTTTTTCGTATCGCCCAATTGTTGCCTGGTGCAGGTGTTTGGTTTTATTCAATTCTGCTAAGTTTATCGATTACAAGGTTGTGAAAAATCACCAACACATCTGCAATGACCAAATTAAATCAGTGCTACACGCTTGCCTTGAAGTGGGTCGCGTATTTTTGTATCAAGTTTGTTTCATTCAAACTCGGTCATGCACATTCAAACGATTTTATATGGTTGCGAGCTGAATAGGACAGCGGCGAAAGTTTTCAAGAAAAATCAATTTATCTTACCCCATGCGTATAATTTGCGTCCACAATGGGAGTATCGCAGCAGATGGCTATTGTACTTCAACGGGTACTCTTGACGGGTTTAAACAAAACGAAATTTACACGCAATTCATGGTCAAACACAACATTTTTGCCTGTTTCGGGAGCTTGAATTGAAGTGATGTTATACTTAAAGAAAATACCCAACACCAAACCCATAAGCTCGGAAAGGTACAATTTCCATCGAAATACCTCTTTTAAAAGCGCGACTAATTTCGAAAATATGATAAATATTATTTGGTAGAATGAATATTTGCATTGCATCAAACTTATAAATGAAATACCCATGCTATTGTAAAAGGCAGCAAATGTGGATCGATATTTAAGGTATTGATGTTATATACAAACCAGCAATCAAAGCAATATATGGTATTATTACGTGATAAATAATATATCACGACAAACTTGCCGCCATTCGATTGGTTTCTCCTGGAGGTTAATTGCAATATTGGTATTTCAGACAACTGAAATCTGGCATGTAGCCTATATATAAGAGACATCATTTACCTCTGGTCGTAGAGCACTAAAAAGTGGGTCCTACATACATTGACCCCAACAAAAAAGGACAGAAGAGCTTATTTTATGGTAGTTTAGTCGTAACCTACGACCACAATATAAAAAATAAATAGTGCGAGAGGAAACTTACCAAATCCCTATTAGCATGATCAGATTTCGTCTTCAGTATGTTTCCCGCTCCTGTCATCTTTCTGGTGGCCTGGATGCGATAAAAAGCCCTACTTTTGTGCTGTTGATTCAACGATTCCAAGTTAGCCATTCTAGCCAAGTCCTGCATGTCAGCCTCTGGATGTTTCTTTTTCAAATTTCGAAGAAGACGAATCATTTCCCGTTTTTGTGCTTCTGTATCCCATGTGGCATCCTCGTCCCCGTCAAATTTTATGGAGATATTTCCTTCTAAACTGTCGCTACTTCGGCTTAGAGTTCCTGCCTGACTGCCCTTTCCAAGGTGACGCATTTCTTCGGCCCCAACCATGTCACGGAGTTCTCCAGTTGCGCTACCTTCTGTTTCTACGATAACATGCTTTCGCTTGCGATAACGTTTGTACATGTATTTGTATACCAGCAAACGTCGGTCCGCTATCCAAGCCAAAACAACCAGCATTGGAAAGAAAAGTAGGGTGACAACCCCTTCCCAAATTTCAACAACTCCCTTCGAAAACACAGCTAATATGAGGTATAGCCAAATATATGCCATTATGCTCCAAACTGCGGTGATGAAGAAAACGCGAGGATGCTTGACTTTTCGGATTTCACCATCAGGTATAACGTACATACAAATGGCAATGATGATAAATAGATTGAAGGACGCGCTACCTACAATGGTAGAAGGTCCAAGTTCTCCAGCAGTGAAACCTTTGCCAATAACCTCAATAACAGACAACATAATTTCAGGAGCAGAAGATCCCAGGGCCATAAGAGTAAGATTAGATACAGTCTCATTCCAAACTCTTACAGTTGTCACGATTACTTCGCCATTTGGTTTGGTTACAGTGACCTCCTTTTCCTTTGAAGTTATGACTTCGATGGATGCCATAAACCGATCAGCTATGATCGACACACCAAGAAACAGATAAAATAAACTGAAAAAATATACGCAAGCTCGGCCCACTTTGTCGGCAGTCGGGATTAGATCGACCTCGGTAGGTGGCCATACTGGTAAAAAGACGCCCCTTTTGCATACCCTTGTTTGATTGCATCTAGAATTTAAATCACCAACTTCCGTCGAGGCTGATGTATTTTGAGCCGATACTGGGCAGGAAAAATATAGAAATACAAAAATGCCAACAATGGCTAGTTTCCCCCGGTGTGTCAGATAGTGAGGCGTCGTAAAGTTGGTACGTTGCCTCCGGCAACAACAGTCCAAATTCATTGAAAGTATAGTCCTCTGATCCGTCGTGTTGTAACTCGCGGTGTTTTGTGAATCCATATCGAAATTCTAGTAGCTATCCGGAAATTTTAGACTAAAATGTATCAGAACATACTGTACTATTGAGCTGTAAATATAACAATATTGTAAGGTATAAAGATAGCACGTCAAACAGTATTTATCTTTGTGTTTCTTGCCATTGCTCCGCAAGCACTCGCAATAATCTTGTGACTACCAACCAACCAAATCAAATGCTTATATTAGTAGAAATACTGATCGTACATGCAAGGCTAAACAGAAAGTAACGTATATATCTGATACACCGCAAGTAGTTTAATTAAATCGATTCTGATGCATTCAGCTACATTCAATACTAAAATATTTACAATGGCACTGGAGGTAAAACAAACACATACTCTTAAATTACTCTTGACGCAAAACACGCAGAACGAAAGAATATGAACAACGACTAATATTCGCATGCAATACGCAGGTCCGCAATTGATCAGCGCACGAAAAGGCGGCCTGGTTTAAATAACTGCGGTCTCTCACGACGAACTGATTTGTCTGTCATGTGGCGCGTATTGGAGATTCGATTGATTGGCTTTACTTGACGCAATAAGCCGTGCGCTCTGGTCTGGTGAGCGCAAATGAACTTAGAAATGAACAGTTGTCGAGGATTGTTGTAAATCCTTCATGCAATATCGAAAATAACTTTGCCTGCTAATTTCTACCCACTGAACTCAAGGCTGTGCCCAGCGATATTGAATCTTGCAGGCTGCGCTCTTCGCTTGAGATACAGCCGGAGCAGCTGTCGTTTTCTACGTCATTAGGGGACGACGCCATTCCGAGTGAGACCTATCAACGCGTTCAAGGCGTTGTCGACGCTTCAGTCACAGCTTTTCAGAGTCACAGATAATAAGGCGATTAGCAGGAGCGGTATTTTTTACAATACAAATCGTGAAACGCGCCAATACACCGTGTTGAACGACAGTGAGAATTCCCAATGAGCGAGCAAAATGAAACAAAGCTTGCTCCAATACATTCACAGCATACAGTGGATGAGACTGCATTACGATAAAACACCCTTTCGAAGGAATTATATGAACTTTTTAAATTTCTTCTATTAGACTAATTATTGCTGCCTTTACCAAGAATTAGAGAATTGCTCAATTTACTCGTATCAAATCTGTTTGACGTATAATTTTATTTTCTCCGAATAAGTATATATTGTGAATATACTCAATAAATCACTTCAAAATAGACACCGAAATAGCATACATGGGCTAGTGTTTGCGCCAGGGGACTGGTATCGGCCAAAGGCTTAAGCTTTTAATCCTTGCACACATACAATATTATTTATGTATTCTTTTCATGGTCCGACAAAGTTGTGCATGCCAAACAGTAACGATTATTTGTTGAATACTATCTGTATTGCGATCTCGAAACAGTGTTCGAGAAAGCCATTCGCCGTGGATACACCTCCGTGTACCTAATATTTCAACTCTGAGTTACTAGTTACTACATCAGTATACTTTGGAATAATTCCAAAAGTTCCCAGCGGATTGTACTACAGCAGTTACTAAGAGTACAGAATATCCTCTAAAATCGTTCTTAATTCATTTATTATAGGTTTTTCGTGCAAATCGATTCAAACTGAAAGCTTCTCCTGGTTGATTATTCCCCTTCTGCTATCTATCGAAACATTCACGAAATTTTGGTGATTTTCACTTTAGGCCAATATTAACTATAGAAATTATGCCACAGCGCCCTTTTTGATGAGGTCATGGCACACAGAAAACGAATCCCATGAAACACATAGACATTTTTGAATTTAATAAAAATAATAGCCGTCCAGCGAAAAATACAATCTTTAACCACTGAAAATTTCAAAGCAATCGGTCCGTTAAATAAAGAAATAAGCGAGATTTCCATAACGATAAGAAAAAAAAATACCAACAACAAGAATAGGAACAGCAAAACGATTCATATGTACAATTCGTGTCCAACAACTATGTTGGATTTCACTAGAATAATAGGATGTTTTCACGATACTGTTTCGTTTTATGGTGATGAGATTAATTTTGCGAACAATATACGCAATTTGAATTATCGAAAACCAGATGTCACAGCAATAAAAATTCACTTATTCCGCCTGAATAAATTTGAGTGCTCCGCGTGGAACATAATCAAAATTTTGTAATAAAGTTAAAAGCAATAAAATGAAGAATAACAGAAAGCCTCGACTAACATGAATTGGGCTCAACACTTGAATCAAGAAGAATATTATAGCCAAGGTCATATAGATGGTAAAATTCGCAAAATTAAACGACATCAAAAAAGCAGACGAGTTTTGCTTAGATGGTTTATTTTTTAAATCTACAACAAAATCAATTAATTAAATATTATTCAGGAAGTATGTAGCCTACTTGGCTGACATATGATGAAGTATATAACACGCAAAATTATACGTTTTGCTAAAAAGAACAGCTTATTCCACCCTGCGTGCAGATAGTTTGGTCACACAGGAAACTTCGCTGTTTTACCTCTACCATATCAGGTTCGAACAACCGGCGGTGATATAGCGCGTTGTCTCAGAAATATTTTACTCAGAAGATCAGATAGGTACACTTACAAAATGAAATGCGTTACGCATAGTTATATGATATTGCTACGAAAAAGGTTGGTGGTGACTGAAATAATTTGACCCAGCGATTACAACGCTCTGTCCACACTATCCATAAATTGATCGTTTACAATGTATATATACGGTGTATAATTTCATTGTCTTAATCCGACTTTCCAGTCTGATTTACAATAATTGTTATCGAATATTATTCATCACTGTCTGTAAGCCACTAATGAAAACAGAAATTTGGGACGAATGTTGGGTTTGTTTTCACAGCATTTTTGATGGTAGCCACCGATTTATCGAAATTAACTAAACGTTCCCAAATTTCGATTCGCCAAAATAACAGTGCAAATCTCATATTAGAATAAATAAAAAAGGATGAATCATGACCAAATTATTGAGTTAACATATAGGAAAAATTACCCGTGACTGACCCCCTTATTGACACGAGAACTACTTTCCACTAAATATGTGGAATTATATCGAATTCGCATAATTAACAGTGTTGTCATCATTGCTAGGCTGCAGCCAACAAACTTCGCGATTGTGTAAGTAATCCACGACTAATATCATATCAGCTGTTCTAAGTTATCGCCCTCGGAAAATGATAGGTGGTTGTCGGGGCGAGATAGGTTTAACCAAAGTGCATCTGAATAATGAACATTTGGTGCAAAGCAATCTACACTTCTGAAGACCAACGTCACGGAAAAATCTTGCGAGACAAAGGCGTAGGTTACACCAATAACTCCTTTCAAACTCGTCATAGCGTTAGTTATCTTGTCTCTCGGGCGGAACGGTAAGTTTGCAGTGCAGTTTTTCTGTTTGCAATATTCGATCTCCTAATGATGTAATTAATGTACTTCCAAGACTAGTGCGGAGCAACAACATAAGAAAACGTTTACGAATTCTGCCAAATCTTCATGAACAATTATAATATAGCCGGATACTGAAAGCCGAGTGCGGAGCAACAACATGATGAAACATTCACGAATCCTACTAAATCTTACGAACAACAATATATTGCCGAATACTAAAAGCCGCAGCACAAATACGCCACACGGAGCACAAATGAACTAACGGCGTATATAATAGCATTACGTGCGTGTGCGACGCAACTCATAGTAGACGCAACCTTTACGTTCGCACAATAATTACCCATTTGTAAGCGTTGCCTTTTTCAATAAAGCGTGCGTAAGCGCAGTATAAAGTAACGCGTCTAGCTGTGGACGCTCTCGAGTTCAACTATTGAACAAAAGAAGAATATTGCGTTTTGTTGTGACATTAAATGGACTCCATTCGGAATTAATATTCTTTGTTTATGAAAATCATTTCTCAAAAGAAATATTTTTTCAAAAGCCTAATTGTATGCTCATGTTCGCTAGTTAGTGCGTGCAGACATGTTTGTTTAGGGTTTCTCAGAGAATTGGACACGTTTTGTCAAAAATAGTCGTAAGCGTTTCGCACCGTCTTTTATCTAATCTTTTGTTCAAACAGCTAACTTTTTTTGGATCATCGAATCACCGCAGATTGATATTTGTTAGCAAAAAAAGATTTGTACACAAGTACATAATATGGAAACGACGGCTGCGTGGTTGAAAAGCCTTGGCAGCTAACGCCGAGAGTTGATTGCCTTGCATTTCAATATAAGAAATGCTTCTTCTTACTGAAATTTTCGACTTTTGCATGTTCTTTCGTAATAAATCGGTTGCCTACCTAATGCACGCAATTTGTGATGAACTGGAAATAGATGAAGCTAAAAATAGGAAGAAAACAAACCTAATGGGGGCGCAACAATTCGCTCGTTTGGGTGATCAGATTTTTAATAATATTATGATCGAACGATAGGCTGTGATCCGCTATAGCATGAAGCCATCTTAACGACTTGCAACTTCCCTGTGTTAATTAGGAAAATAATAGCATTTGTTGACTTCAGAAGGAAAAAACGGTAGTCAGCAATTCCATAAATGTCATGGAGTGACATTTCACACATTCAGTCAATTTAACTGTATCAAGGTCTTGGTGGTTTGCTATTTTTAGAATGCCAATTGGTAGCAGTAACACTGATGTATTTACTATAATTCACTTTCAACCAAATATTTTTCAAACGACGAGACCAAACAAGTGATGTCACGGAGTGACAAAAAGTTGAATGCATAAAATGACTGCGATATATCAACCAAATTTCGTCAAAAGCTTCATGACATATCAATTATAATAACTTGTCTCTGTATTCTAGAGATATTAATCTCTACATTTATGCAAAATTTATTGTACAACAAACATTTTTCAGGAAGCAGCCCAATTATACGGCCCAACTAGTCGCATGTCACTCCGTGACGTCACGGAGTGACAAAAATTCCTCATCATTAAAATGGTATTAAGAATGTTGAACAATTAGTTGTATTAGGTCAAATTGGTTATTTGTTTGAAATTACAAAACATTTAAGCAAGAAATTGGGAAACATGATATATTTTTGTCGTTCTGCTTGTGTCCCCCTCATATTATTAATATGCTAAACGAGAGCACTAACTTTAATAATCTATATAGTTAAGTAAAAAGCTATGTTGCACAGACAACATGAAACAGACATGACTTTTCCACTCCTATATATCTGGAATCTTATTGCAGTGACTTGACAAAGAATGGGCAATTCAAAATACAGAATCTGGAGGACCTGTTAATGCAATTCAGTTTAAGAATCTTTGTACCATGCGACGATTTTTGTTATTTGGATATCTAATTTATTAACCATAGAAAAGCATTTATTTTTGCGTTGAAGTCTCTCTTGTTAGGTAGTACTTGCATCTACTTGCAAAGCACACATAGGCCCAAAGCACACATAAGCAAGCAGTAGGCCCCAAACACAGTATTCTTAGTCTGCATATTCAGAACGAGAAGACAGTGATAAATATGTCCCTGCGAAAACTCGTTATTGCATCATTTTTGCTTTTTCTAGCTTTATGATATAGCTGGCACGTAAAAATAATTATTGGTGACAATGAGTGATGCACTGGCGTTTTCTAAATGGAAGTATCTTCAATTTTTGACAAACACATCATATTTTTTTTACATTTCACGATATTTTTAGCATCCTATGAGTTAACCCGATAAATGGATATAAACCAAAATCCAGATGTCGATGTTGAAACTTGAGATTTAATATTGTTTGTGAATTATTTGAATTCACATACGCCTTTTACAAAAATGTCGAATTATATTGTAAAACGATGCATTTTGGGGACGGACTAAAAGTAGGCACTTGCAAATTAGGCACTTATTTAGGAACTTTGGAAAAAAAGTAAAAAGGGCGTAATACCTTTTAAAAACATAATTAATTATTAATTAGTTAAAAATGGTCAAATTAAATGTTGAAAACGCAAATTGCAACGGGCAAACTCAATAACAATATTTAAAACGTAGTATTAAAGGCAGTCGCACGCGCTTGGTCACCACATATGCTAGACACATATTTAGGCACTTCGAAAAATGAAGAAAATGGCAATTATCACTAATAAAAGACAGAGACATAAACATATTACCCACACTGATTAGCCTTGGTAAATATCCAATAGATGCACTTGAGTCTAGTACTGGAATTTAGAAATAATAAATTGTTACCGGTAGGCACTTATTTAGGCACTTCGGAAAAAAGGTGAAATGGACGTAGTAACTCCTAAAAAGGTGATGAATTAGTTCAAAATATTTAAATTAAATGTTGAACGCGAAAATTGCAACAGTTAAATCCAATAACGATTTTTGAAACGTAGTATAAAAGGGAGACGCACGAGCTCTGTCACCACGTATGCTAGGCACATATTTGGGCACTTCGAAAAATAAAGAAAATGGCAATTATCACTAATAAAAGACAGAGAAATAAAAATATTACCCACACTGATTAGCCTGGGTAAATATCCAATAGATGCACTCGAGTCTAGTACTGGAATTTAGAAATAATAAATTGTTACCGGTAGGCACTTTTTTATTGGTGATAATTCCGATTTTCTTCTTTTTTCAAAGTGCCTAAATATGTACCTAGCATATGTGGTGACCGAGCGCGTGTGACTCCTTTTAATACTACGTTTTAAATATTGTTATTCGGTTCACCCATTGCAATTTGCGTGCTATACATTTAATGTGACAATTTTTAACTAATTAATTATCATTTTAAAAGTTATTACGCCCATTTCACCTTTTTTTTCGATGTGCCTAAATAAGTGCCTAAAAAGTGCCTACCGGTAACAATTTATTATTTCTAAATTCCAGTACTAGACTCTAGTGCATCTATTGGATATTTACCCAGGCTAATCAGTGTGGGTAATATTTTTATTTCCCTGTCTTTTATTAGTGATAATTGCCATTTTCTTTATTTTTCGAAGTGCCTAAATATGTGCCTAGCATATGTGGTGACAGAGCGCGTGCGTCTCCCTTTAGTACTACGTTTTAAAAATCATTACAGTATTGGGTTTAACTGTTGCAATTTTTGCGTTCAACATTTAATTTAAATATTTTGAACTAATTCATTATCTTTCTAGGAGTTACTACGCCCATTTCACCTTTTTTTCGATGTGTCTAAATAAGTGCCTAAAAAAGTGCCTACCGGTAACAATTTATTATTTCTAAATTGCAGTACTAGACTCAAGTGCATCTCTTAGATATTTACTCAGGCTAATCAGTGTGGGTAATATGTTTATTTCTCTGTCTTTTTTTAGTGAATATGCCATTTTATTTATTTTCCGAAGTGCCTAAATATGTGCCTAGCATATGTGGTGACCAAGCGCGTGCGACTGCCTTTAATACTGCGTTTTAAATATTGCTATTGAGTTTGCCCGTTGCGATTTGCGTTTTCAACATTTAATTTGACCATTTTTAACTAATTAATTATGTTTTTAAAAGGTATTACGCCCTTTTTACTTTTTTTCCAAAGTGCCTAATTTGCAAGTGCCTACTTTTAGTCCGTCCCTGCATTTTGCCATATTTATTCTGCCATTCCAACAGATTACATATTTTTTCAATTACAGTTTACAATAAGTTCGTTTATATTGTTCAAAACCGGCACATGTTAGGTCAAATATTTTGGTCATCGATAGTTTTAAAAAAGTTGCCATTGCCATTCAATCAGGTCATTCAAGTTATATTGTGGGTAAGATCCAAAGTAAGTAGAGGGCAAAACGAAAGAATTTGCAGTTCAAACCCAATATTATAGTACTTCGCGTACAGAAAAATAATATTTTCAAAAATTGGCATACTTATGTCACGGAGTGACGAGATCTCTTGAAGTGCTGCGAAAGAACAACAAGCAACTATCAACTGCCAAATTGGTAAATTATCGGGCCCTACCCCCAAAGTGACGTCTCAGTTTTTGAGGCAAATAGTTATTGAAATATATCAGATAATTAAAATAAAGTTGAAAAATTGTCACGAAGTGACGCGTCACGGAGTGACAACACAAGGCAAATTCTCATAAGCTCTGTTTAGCCCAGTGTTGCCAATAGTGCACAGTGCAATATTTATATTAAGCACAGATATCAGAGGTAAAACTTAACACATACTTTGGTTGAACAAATACATTTTAAGGTAACATAAATAGCATGAGAGTTTATGTTACAAAACTGAAGAAAATTAGGCAGAAAATCATCAATTATTCCGCTGAAGAAAAAACAATTATTTTGAGCCGTAAACGTACCATCTCAAGCGATTTTAAAAACTTTAAGATATGTCCTACACTTTCTGCAGTTCAATTAGGCAAGATATAATTTTTACCAAATTTTCAACTAATTTATGGAATTGCTGTAGTGGAATTTCTAGAACAAATCAGAGCAGCTCGACTATTTGTATAGACCGCATTCATTTCTTGGTACTCCCGTAATGTGTGTACTATGTCATTATTGGGTCATAATTTTCCTTATTTATATTACGAGTTCGGGGACTGTTTGTGTTAGTCAAGTGAATATACCCAGTGGTGGGATTCAGCCGGTTCTATAGAACCGTCTCGCAGAATTTTGTGATATCAGCGAACCAGTTAGCATTACTGGTTGCTGTCAATGTTCGGTTTGCAACAGAAAAGGCTGATAAATCTGACTTTTGTGAAGGAACCGGCTGACAAAAATTTGAATCCAACCACTGAATATACCCCGTCCAAAGGTTTCAGCCCCTTCACACAACTTCGTGTAAAGTAGGCGAACAAAATTAGCTACCTCCATATTTGTACACACACTTCTGAAGCGCCCATTTTTCGTGTTCCAAGTATTTCATCACCTCTCCTGACGAAAGGTTGGCTTGGCGCGAGTTTCAGTTCGACCGTTTCTGTAGAATACACCAAGACACGATTCGGGCACTTGATAATATCCAGACTCGCGGTTCGGTCTCTTCAATGACATTGATGCAAAACTGCCTCAAAAGGTTTATATCCAAATCCAACTCCGAACGACATGCAGGCAATTCCCCCTACCATATTTTAGGTCTCCTTCCATCTCTCACAGACCAAGAGATCGTTTAAGGCAAAGCAATACACGTGCAAACCAGGATGGTGTCTTGAAGTTCGGACTTGTAAATTGATCGTTCGACAACAGAGCACAACAAAAAATAAATTCACAGATGTTACTAGTAATGAAACATGTTGAAAAACAGAGAGGTACAAAAAGAAAGTTGGAATGAAGAAAAATACAGCAATAGATGGATATACATCAACGAGAAACCTTCGATTGCCTTTATTTTTTAGCTAAGCGGTTTCCAAGCTGGGGGGCAATTAGACAATTTTAGATATTAACTCAACGTCCATGGTCTTAACAGTTTCTCTTTCAATCCCAGTCCCTTTCGCTCGTCAACGGAAAACATGTACGTGCTGCGTTCGAATCTAGCATTTTTGTTCTAAGGAAACCTTATTAGTGAAGGGAAATTGCTACGAAAGTGGAATTTTTTATAGATTGCGATAAAGTTTTAAAATAGAATCTGCGAAAACAGATATTGGGAACTCCTGGGATGGCCTTCGAATATTCGAACTTTTCCCGCAAGGCATAACAATTCTGCTACAATATTCTTCAACTCATTGCCGTGAAGTAGGATTCTCTAAAAGAACAACCATTAAAACAAAATGCTGAAAGATGCTTATTATCACAATTGCCAATGAGATCAAGACGTTGTACTTGCGTTTATGGATTCCTCTATTCTTGGTATTAAATTTGATAAATCGCGCACTGGAAATTTATCATTACGAAAGGGGTAATTGAGCTTTTGTTAATTCGATTAAGAGGTGATGATCAACCCTATAAAAAAGTTTGAAAATCATTTTGTTTGTTCTGAAAAAAACAAAGTTGTGACAAAGTTTGTGGTCGTATTAGGTCTTTGTTAGTTATGAGACATCAGACACGTTCTTAAGAATTGTGGAAATATATTGATTGTCTGATGGAATCATTGATTTCTTCAGTTCTTCAAGTTTGACACCAATTTCACTGCTGGACATCGACTTCCAGTCAACTTCTTTTGCCGCTTGCAAAAACTTTATGATTATCTCCTCACCCTCCTGATATAAAAAAATGCAAATAAGAATTTGGATGTGCTGGTTATAAATAAAAGTTGTGTGACAGAACAATATTATAAAATGCAAGGTTGCATTCTTCTGGTATTACCTGTTTAATTTTTCTCTTCTTCCTGGCAGTGTCAGGATCATTCTCCATCATATCATCATGAGGTAAAATCACATTGTAATCTTCCAATTCCGCAGCTTTCCTTTTAGCAGATTCAATAACATGTTTGGGAAAATCCACACATTCTGCCACATGTATTCCAAAACTTTGATCACACACACCTAAATTACAATGATTATATGAAGTTACACAATGGATCAGGTGGTCAATATTATTGGTTAAAAGAAAAAAATAGCAAAACAAGTTACAATATGTGTGATAATCCCAGACATTTCTGAAGCACTCCAATAATCGACTGATGTTGTTATTACATTATTTCTTATTCAGTTTAACTAAATGAAATTTTACCACAGTTCAAAATCCAAAGGTCAAGAAAATGAAACAACTTCAGTAATCAGTTTAACCCTGTCACACTATAGTTAGGCAATATCTATGACTATTCAATTATGCTGCACAAATGTGAATGCATACATTCAAAAATATATGAACGTTCAGAGCTATTAGACTCACAGTGAGTCATTTTGAAACTAATTAGGCAAAGTTATAGTTCACTAATATCTTGGATGAAAAGCAAACAAGGCTCAGTGAAAAATTCAAAATAAAAAAATCTAACTATATTACCTCGTTTTACTTGGTACAACATTGTGAGAGTTGGTGCATCATTTTGAACTTCTCCTGTTAAAGCAGTAACATGAAGATTTGCTACAGAAGATACTTCATCAGCTAATGCAGTTAGTTCGTGAAAGTGTGTGGCAAACATACAATATGAACCAATCTTGGTTGCTATGTGATGTGAAATTGCCCAAGCCAAACCAAAGCCATCGTAAGTAGAAGTTCCACGACCTGAAAAAAAAAAGAATTTCAAAATTTAAGGCTCATGCACTAGCGTCGTTCTTACATGATCAGGTCACAATATATTTGAAGGTGACTAAAGTTACAGATTAAATTTGATTCACCAGAGTCGATTAAATGTGTTGGGAAACTGCTCACCTGCCCTACCCTACGTAATAAACAGTGGTTAGCATATTGCCACCATTTACAATCAATGGAAACAACCAGAGCATGAAAAAAGGACCAGAAACATTTCAATTCATGATAAATTCAATGGCTTTGTTTGTCTAATGATTTGCTTTTCTGGAGCCTTTTCAAAGTGTTATCTACTCTCCACATAAAAAGATATATGTATTACTAAAAATATAACCTAATTCATCGATTATTACGAGTGAATTCTGAGTAGCAGATCTGAGTATGGATGAAGTCTCTAACATCTCGGCCATGAACGTTGATACACCTCGCACTTGACAATCTCCAGCTCCTACTCTGGCTAGAATTGCATCTACTAATGTAACATGTGCTTCGCTGCATGGTGTAAAACAACCAATCTGAGCCATAAGAACTACCATTCCAGCTTGCCTTATGTATGTAGATTTGCCTCCCATGTTAGGACCTGAATTGCATACCGTTGTTATGATAAATGTGGAAAACATGTGAATCATATATCATAATAGTCTAAATCACTCTGAATCATTCTAGCATATAGAAGATGATGAATGACTTAAGGAGGTCATCAAATCCACACAAAAATGAATTTAATAAGTAATATTTCAAAATGAACAAGAACAACCGAGCAAACAATTTTAATTTAAGATGTTTAGAAGAGTCTGATGAATACTGCTATGGTCTGGACAATTATGAGGTATACAAACCGGTTATGATCAAAAATGAATAGCTTTCTCGATTGAATTCAATATCATTTGGTATAAAATCGACATCATCTTGTCTTTCCAAGCATGGATGTCTGCATTCTTTCAATACTATTCCTTTGTTTTCATCTGGTGAATACACTTCTGGTTTAACAAAAGGACATGGAGCATTCACTGAAACCTGTTTGTAAAAACCATGGCTTGTTGATGACTATGTTAGTTATCAATTTCTAGATACCAGGATAGAGCAAGGATTAGCTAGCATTATGTTATGACATATCATGAGACAAGATAACTTTTAAACAAGTGGTCCACAAACAATTAACGGTACACATTGTACTTATTCTGTGTCACAAAAATATTCACTACACTGATATTCAATTGGACTCTTCGGCAAGGTATCATGAATCTTAGAGGCAGAATGGCTAAACCCAAACATGGACTTATAAATCATCTCCTTCATAAAGTGGAAGCAACTGAGATACGAAAGTTGGTAAAAAAATACATTCAGAAGTGGAGGTCTATCACCAAAATGTGTGGGGTATGCCTGATCTACATCATTCGATTATGCAACAGCCAACAGATCAATGATTTGGATTAAACAACAATTTTACCAAATTTTAGCAAATCTTCTATTTAATATATGAACTTAATCACTGTAAGTGACCCCCAAACAAAAGAAAACTGACAATAGCTAAAATGTCTAAACGACCATTTGTTGCTGACAACATATCTATTAAAAGGATTGAGATAAAATGAGAAAATATTGCTGATGATTAAATATTCATATAGTTCTTACCTGAGCGAAGCTTATCAAAACATCCAGTTTTGCTATGAGGTCGCCAAGAAGAAGCATAGGTTCTGAATAACCAGCAGCAATTCTTACGATTTCATTGACAATAGCAAGTTGTTGTTGTTCATATAACTTCTGACATTCTTGATATATTTCACTCAATTGACTCATCTTATCTGTAACAAACCTGAAAAACAAAATCATAGAGGAAAAAACAAATTAGAGAAATATTATTAGTTTCTCACGAATTTGTGTTGCTTTTTTTTGAATGCGTAAATGTGAAAAAAAAGCTATATAATTTACTCATGCTTATATATTTTCTGATAAAATTGTGACCGCCAGATACATTTCAACGTATTAATACTTTTAGGAAAGAATAAATTTGAGAAAGGCAGGATGACTAATATGTACCTGACACCTGCTTTGTTTGTGTCAATAGTATAATAACTCTTCTTATTTCTCAATTTTTTTTCTTCCTTACATGTGACCCGGAAGAAATAACCCAGCTGAGAACTGGATTCCAACTGTAAATAGAAAAATTTGGAAAATTTAAATTAATACATAATAAAGAATCAATTCACAAAATCAAAATGACTTGCAGTTGCAGATAACAAGAATTATGATATTTTGATTCGAATATCCAATTTTTAGTTTCAGCTCTTTGAATTTGTACTCATGCTAAGAGCTACCTTTGAGTATATTTCGGAAAATCAATTCAAAACCATTAAATAACAAACTGAACTACATAGATTTACTTTAATGCCTTTTCCTTTTTCCAGTTGTAAATCTTGTGCAGCTTCATTGAAACATTTGTCCATCTTCAACTTGTTTCGATCCATTTTCTCCTGCAGTTCCAGCAATTCTGGATCAAAATCTGCTTTCACCCGAAACTGATGTTGCTCAATCTAAAGAATAAATATTCAGAACCCAATGACAAATACAAGAAAAAGGATAAATGTTGTAAAACTTGACTAAAACACGATTATACTGAGAGGCTAGTCATGTCAATAATCTGATAAATACTACTCAACCTTTTAAGATAGTTCAAAATTACTTGGAATAAGCTGTGTTAGTTTGAAACAACAAGCACCAAAATAAATACTAAATTGTTCTAAATCTCACCATTTTGAAATCCAAAGTTGTTTCTACCATTTCAGTAAATTTTGCAAAATCCAATGACAGTTCATGCAAAGGTGTTGTAAAAAATTCCTTTAGTAAGCTTGCGTGTTGATCTTCATTGCGTGCTAGACATTCACACAACATAGGAATTGATTTGAGACCCTATGATAAAATTATATAAACTGATTTAAAACACATTTCAATATGTAATATCATTAAGAATTAAGTGAAATTCTTGTTAGAGAAATTCATCTTTCATCTTCCAAATTGTAAACTAAATGACCTATACGAGATTTGTCAAAATGATATTTTTCCCAGATATGAACAAACTTTAGATATTGAGATAGAGGGTTTAAATACATGATATTAATTAGAAGAGCTGGTTACATGAAAGTCGAATAGAAATTACTGGCAAATGAAAAAATTCATGCTCGCAATGACATATTGACAAGTGGGATTTCCAAAGTATAGTAAAGCAACCGGGAGCCTTTGAAGGTAGAAAAAAACACTCATATCGATTTGTTTTGTAGTTATTCATACTCTTATATTAGTACAGTGAGTGACCTTTTGTTAGAAGAACTATAATGCAGAGGAGTAGGATACATACCTGATAAACTTTATAGCAATCCTGAAGTGATGCATTCTTTCTGTGGAACTTTTTAGACATTCTAAAAATTCACAATCCGGTTATATTGAAATCGGAAACAAGTAACATAAAATTTTGAATGCAAGGTTGTTGTTAGTTTTACATCATATTTTTAGTGTTTTGTGCATTCATGAGTGCTCGCGAAAAAAAAACAGCTTCAGAAAAATTATTACTTGTTAACAATCAACATTGGAGGTTACTTTATTTAAATTTTGCTATTCATTAACCTGCACTTGATCACAGCAATTACTGTAACAAATCATTTAATAACATAGTGTTAAATTCGAAAACAAACCTGCAAAGATCTGGAAAACTTCTTAGATATTCCCCATAAATTGTTAAACGCAATGTTGTGTCACGAACAAAAGCTTCTACTAAATTCAATCTTTCTTTCACATGATTCATATCAAGTAACGGTTGTTTGATCCATTGGCTTAACAGTCTTTTGCCCTGAATTTAATAAGCAAACTTAGATTATTAAAATAAAACAACATGACCTATGCAAGAAGAAAGACTAATAAGTTATTTCAATTATTATGAGACAAAAGTTACTGTCTTTGTATAAATTAATTTCAAATTCAGGCAGTATCAAATTAATTTGGCCCCTTTCAAAAAAGATTACTAAGATTGAATTTGGTACGTTTCATCTTTTACTTCTTAATAAAATAGCCGTATACATTACAAATATTCTAACCTGTTGAGTCTTGCACTGATCAAGTAGATTATATAATGAATCAGCAGATTTTTTCATTCCCCCAACCGAGTACGAAGAACTTTCATTGGAAAATAAATTGAGAGCTGAATATGCTGATCTATCCAACCTCATGTACTGTGATAAATCATAAGTTTTAAATATGTATTGGTCAAAGTTATCTTCATTGTTCAGAAGTTCCAGATAATTGATGCACGAAGCAAGAGCACAAGCAGCACCATCTTTCTCAGATATTTCTCTGGCTACCGTGGCATTCAGTGTTTCTCCAGTTCTGTCAAAAGATTTTGTATAAATACATAGGATAAAACAGGCATTACCATATCAAGTATTCAGCTTTCAAAATTTCTAATACAGTATTTTAATAAGATTCTCTGGAGAGGAGAAAATTATAAGAGAGATGTATTGAAATTGTATATTCAAAATCACATATATATTGGTAAAAAATTAAAACTATACTTCTTGTTCTTTTTTAAAATCCTCCCCAAATCTTGAACTAGATCTTTAGATTGAAACTCTTTTTTTGGTCTTTCTGACATTAAAACTCCACTTCTTTTCACAACTTCCGCAAGTTTTGTACATTCTGAAGTTTGATCCTTTTAAAAAAAAAATTATTTTCACTATCCAAAACCCTAGAAAAACAAATATGAAAAATAAATTAAAAATAAAAGTTGCTCAGACCATTAAATAAAATTAGCACTACTTTATCGCACCTTCAAACAGTCTAATCACATATTCATGCATCTGAAGAAGATTTACCGGTACGGCGGTACTCATTTTTTACTACACAGAATGAATTGAGAAAAATATTATGATTTTTAAACAGATATAGCTGAAACATTTTTATTATATATTTTCTAGCCAAAACAATAAATAGAGCTCACCAGCTTTTGCAATAAACACTCCCTGGCACCTAACTGAATAATTGTTGACTCAAGGTTAGAAAAAACTTCATTGTCTTCAAATTCTGCGACCTGAATTTCTCTAGTGATTGTGTCAATGAACCCAATTCCAACATTTCTGCCACCTGGAATAATGACAACAATTATTAAGGATATAAATACACTGCAGCTGACATTCAAGTCAATCAGTCCCACTAACAAACTACTAAAAATCCATATATTAGTAAAAATAGTTGCAAACCACATTAACATATGAAAAAGGTTTAAAGATGAGTTAGTATGCTTGGGTTCACATTTCTACTTTCTACTCTTCTAAGAGAAAATAAAACTGAAAAAGTAGATGAAGTGTAAATATAAATATAAAGTGCTGAGATCATGGTTAACTTGACCGTGGCGTGTACCGATCTTCAATATGTCCAAAATAAAGAATATGAATAACTGTATTAATATATAATCCATATCCAATGATAAATAAAGTACCTGAGTTTGATTGAAATTGTTTGACTGCAATCACACCAGAACTTGTAGCTTTAAGTTCATTATTTTTGAACAGTAAATCTTCAATCTATGAACAAACGAATTGGACCCAAATCGATTTCCGATATATTGAATATTTCAAATTCTTGATTGAGGAACAAGTGTCACATCATTAGTAAGGACACTTGTCACACTACCTTTGTAAGTACTACCTAATTTTCTGAACTACAGAAAAAATTTAAAACCGATCAAACCACAATTTTGTTGATTACATTTCTGAATTAAAAGTCACTTTTAGACTACATTAACCTCAATATGTTCCTGTTTAACATAATCCCATTTAGAATATATACCCAATGATATCATTTGGAATGTATTCATAATAGTACACTATCTAGGTTTGGCCATAAATGTGTTTAACACATGCTTAGATAGATTGTAAATCAGTAACTACCAATTAATACTTTGATTGTCATGTTCCTATTTTTTTTTGAAGTGAAAGTTTCATAAACGCTAATACAAATTAATGTTCTTGAATTCACTCAATAAATATTACCGGTAGGTATTTGGCTAACATCATAGATAAATTTGCAATTACGAACTTGTGTCAGATTGCCTGGTGATGCTTTGCACGAAAGTTCCCACTTTGATCCAGTTTTAGTTTTGTTTCGATAAATCTCAATTCTATAATGCCGAACCAACAGTAAATCTCTCACTAATGATTCAAGGTTTAATTGGCTGAGATAAACTGTTGAAACCTTCTTTTCACCTGTTGAAATGTAATTAAAATTAAAGTGTTTCGGCAAATTAATACAACTAAACGATACAGACTCAAAACTAATAAAATTCATGGTGATTTTCAAGTAGATGACTTTGTCGAGCTTCTATGAGAAATCTAGTATAACTACTGAACTATAGAAAGATAACTATGTCATCTATTTTGCATAAATAAGATTTTGCTTGTGATATTTGTCTTATTTGATGGCCTCTAAAAGCCAGATAAACCTTAGCAACCGATTTTTGTCTGATCCAATAATTTGAATTGCATCAAAACAGTCGGAGTATATGTCTGTTCAATTCACAGAACAAAAGTCAAATTTATTCCATAATTTCCAGAAAATATAAAATCTTGCAAAATTCCCATGGAGACAATTTTTTTAAATTCATTTAGTTCCCTTAGACCGTAGTCTTAAATTTACCTTTTCCTATATATTTCAGTATGGCAGTGCTCTTAAATATTTCTTTTGCAGCAAACACAGCATTGCTATCATGTGCGGTATAAAAATCTTCATGGTCAAAAACAACAAAAGTTGCATCTGATGAAGGGGGAAAGCTTTTCAAGTATGTAGCTAACTGCCTCTCTTGCAAGTCATCCAATGTAAATTTAGTCTGCAAAGTTGACATGATACTGTGATAATATGATGTATATTAGATCATACAACTGCAAAATATTTTTGTAGATATTAGGCCAGCATAGGCCAAATGAAATAAATATCAGAATAGGATGTAAATATTTTTTTTTTCATAAATAAAATATTAATATAAATCATTACATTCAGATGAGATGAGACATAATAAATATTGAGCATCTGTATCCATATTGTAGCATATCCGTTGTAAATCCCATTTGTTGTCATCGTCAATTATATTATTTTTCAATATGCCATTTACCATTATTTTAATTAATACATGAAAAAGAAAATTTTAAGAATTAGTTCCACTCCATTATGATAAAGAGTTCTAGTCATAATTATATATGTTTGCATAATGTATCAAGTTCTTCACAATAATTAGGTAAATTTCGCAGTCATTCTATATTTCTCCTAGTCCACGTACCCTATTGAATTTCTTATAGTATTGACAACATTATTCACACTTGACATTACATTTTTAAAAATCCCTGCATTTCGTTGCAACCAAATTTTATATCTTGCAGTAGCCTACATAGATACTGCTTTACTGACATATCAACAAAATAATAGCATTTTTTTCTATATATATATATATATAGGTTAGATGTTTAGGTCTTTTTCAGGGTAATTCACGATAAAATACAGATATAAACAAATTGGTAGGTCCGTAGGTTGTGATGCAGTAATGATATATTTTGTTGAAGTAGTTTATGAAAAAAGTTATATGCTGTAATTATACTGGTATACGGTACGGTCTGACGGTATATGATCGGGCCCTCATATACGAATAACTCAACAAGCCTCAACATCGCGATGTCCTGAATTTTTTTATTAGAATCCAGGAATCAGTTCTGCAGCCATACTGGCAATTGCGCTATTCTATTTGCCGCCAAAATGCTGAGCAATAGGTTCCTGCTCAATAGTGACACCTATCGCATCAATGTAGCAGCCAATATTACTACATGTGATGTACTTTTATATAAATGGTAGTAAAATCACCTCAGTCAGAAACGAGTTTTTCCAAAACTTAGTGTAGTTTGTAAAAAGGATCTACCGGTATATCCAAACAATAGAAAGTTAACTAAAAATAATCAATTGAACAATGAATAGAAAAATGCTCAAATAAATGAACATAAAAATCGAAAACATTTTTTTAACCCGGTACCATTACCCGGCTGTCCTAGTTTTCTCAGGTCCTGCGACGATGTTGAATCACGCAACCAGTCTCCACGTTAATCGAAATACCAAATGACTCGAGTCACACGTGTAGAATCAAATCTTTTTTATACAATACAATTTATTTCGACATTCTGAAAAAAAAAAAACTGGAACACAAAACGAACCAAACACATAACAGAAATGTCCGGGAAACGAGCAAAACTAATGAATAAAGTTAATAACGCACAATGCACGGGCTCGTTTACCAAAAGTAACACAAATAATATATTTATGAATACTAAAAAGACTCGATTGCAACGACGCCGCTTTGACGCTTTTTAAATCCTACAATAGAGAATTGATATCGATGCACCTGATTCACCCATCACAGTCTCTGCTAAAATAGCTTCAATAAAATTAAAATCTGTTTTCCAGATTAAAATAAAAAATTAAAATTGCGCCCGAATCCACTTTTCAGTAGAATTTCCCGTAGTACCCGATTTTTGGTGAAATTTCCGTAGTTCCCGCTTATTTAGTGGAATATTCCGCAGTTCCCGCCTATATGTGAAATTTCCCGTAGTTCCCGCTTTTTAGTGCAATTTTCCGTACATACACACTCGAGTGTATATTTCCCTTTTACTCTCATTTACTAATGTAATTTCCACTACACATACTCTAAACTGCATATTTCCCATTCCTTAGAGCTTTTATCGTCATTCCCACTACTTAGTAAAATTTCCTGTTTTCTAGTGAAATTTCCCGTATTTTAGTGATAGAGATGTATCGGTATCGGCAATATCGGCCGTTTTTTCGGTATCGTTATTTGTATCGGTATCGGCTAAATGTAGACCGATATTTCCGATTTATTTAGCTTTTTAATCTGATGCATAATATTTTAAAAAGTAAGTTAGAATACTGATGTTAAAATTAATGTTTTTTTGGATGGATTGTGTTTGCGACATGAGCCATGCACATCCCCACCCGCGCGAGTTGAACAGGGAACAGGATTCTGACTTGTTTTTGGCCATTTATCAGACAAACTAGCTCAACAAATTAGGCTATTTTCGCTGCCAAATTTTTATGTTGGCATTTTAATATTAGGCCTAAATGGTAATTATAAATACGATGACACAAAATCCTGCGAACGCAACTCAATGTATCAGTATGATAGTACAAGAGAGCTATGCTCAAATATATGGACACGTAGCACCACATAATTTTGATGACGTCATAGCAAAAAATAAAAATAATAACCCTCTAGCAAAAAATATAATATTTACTCACTGAAAATTTCGAAATAATTGGTACAGTAATCAAAGAGAAAAGCGATTTCTTCAAAACGTGTCAAAGAACAATTAGGAAGAACAACATAATATTGGAACGATTGTTATGTCCACTACGTGTCAAATAGGAAAACATTTATTCATTTTATCATCCATAGTAGCCGAACCCTAATTGGACATCAAGATTACTAGCGTTGGGGCACAATGTATCTGAATATATTAACGCAATGGATCAATTACCTCCCTATCAATTACCTGAAATATCTCTTTTTCAATCTAGAATAATGTGCACTATGAATAGGCTTACCATACGTCCCGCTTAGCGTCTTGTCCCGCGGTCCCGACAGTAATCAGTAATTTAATTTTTCCACCATTCCAAAGCACACAAGGTGAATACACAATACAAGAAATAGGAAATATGGTACTTTAGGGTGAAGGGAGGCGCGAGACACCAAGACTGGTGATCGAGCAGCGACACCCATAACCGACAATTCAGCCAAAAGTCCCGCTTTTGCGTTCAGCCATCCAGCATAATACACGAACATGTTCTCGTTACTGTGTAGCGCAACGCTAGCGCACTTACTGAAGGTGAATGTGTCATTTTGTTTGTTTCGTAATGTAATAATGTGCACTATGAATAGGCTTACCATACGTCCCGCTTAGCGTCTTGTCCCGCGGTCCCGACAGTAATCAGTAATTTAATTTTTCCACCATTCCAAAGCACACAAGGTGAATACACAATACAAGAAATAGGAAATATGGTACTTTAGGGTGAAGGGAGGCGCGAGACACCAAGACTGGTGATCGAGCAGCGACAACACATAACCGACAATTCAGCCAAAAGTCCCGCTTTTGCGTTCAGCCATCCAGCATAATACACGAACATGTTCTCGTTACTGTGTAGCGCAACGCTAGCGCACTTACTGAAGGTGAATGTGTCATTTTGTTTGTTTCGTTGTTTCCCGCTAACATTGTTAGCGAACGTATTACATGTAAAATGAATTTTAATTGGTCCTGTTCGGACCTTCACGTGAATGTAACATTGAACAACGTGTTTTTAAAGGTGTTATCTACAGAAAAGCATGATTGGGCGAATAAGTAAATTCTCAATGCTTGAAAACGGCAGACTATTTCATTATTCTATATTCCTTTTGCTGTACATGAAAAAATATAAATTCGGATCATTTGTATCGTTAGCGTCTATTCCTTTCTATTTTTCGAACTGATTCCGATATTTAGACAGAGAATATGCGTATGAACTCTCGATGACGATATGGTCAATGAAGACAGCCGGGATGGCTTAAATGTAGGCCTATGTAGTAAAATCGGAAACCGTAAAGTTACAGGAGGCGTCCCGCTTTGGAGTCAAAAAAAATATGGTAACCCTAACTATGAATAATGTTCACAGACTATTGTTTTGATCCGCCTGCCCTGCACACTTAAGGTAATAATTACATTGTATCGGAATCGGAATATCGTCTTTTTGGAATATCGGTGTATCGGCCCTTTTCTTCGGTATCGGTGACAAAAGTGGCGTCGGTACATCTAGATATTAGTATTGTTCCTGCTTTTTAGTGCATTTCCCGTTTCCCGCATTTTAGGGTTGCCCTAAGGCCTAAGCGGACGAGAGGCCGTGGTACGCCGTGTAATCAAGCCGTCTAATAGACTTTTTCTCTCCCGGAGGATAAATAAGTAAATCTTATCCACCGAAGTTTTTTTTGACCGTTGTTCCCCAGCGTTCGCCAATTTAGGTTGGTTGACAGCTGCAACTAACTAGGCCTACTTTACATATACATTCTCATTGAGGTAGGCTACAGACTCTCCGGACCATGGACCACGAGGTAGCCTGGGGTCCGCGAGGGAATACCAAGGGGATCGCAAGAACGTTTAGTTTTTGCGTTATAGAATAACGTTGTCATTTTGTATTTTCTTCTTCTTGTTGAGAAACTACAGAATCAAATGCTTCCAAATTTTCAGTGGTGAAAGATTGTTGTTATCGGTAGAAGGCAATTACTTTTACTTATTTTGAAAAATACAGTGTGCTATACGGAATTTGTTTTTCACTTTAAATTTATGTGTGTTGGCATCTCTGTGACTTGGTTTCATGATCGCATTTTGATATCATATTCATGAATATATTGCACAGAAACAAGTAGTTGTGAATATAAAGCCACTGCATTCAAAATCATCATCCCCTTCGTCTCCACTGACTTATGTGGACATGGGTTTTCTACACTTGTTCAAATCAATACGAAAACTTTATGTGCAAGATCACATGAGATAATTTAGTACGCTATTTCTGATGCGTACGCGAGAAGTGGCAGCTAATTTAAATGTCGTCTGAATAGCTCCATGCTATGTTCTTCTATCGTGTTTTCGGTTTGAAAATTTCGCGGGTCCGCTGACACTTCAGAGAAGAATAGGGGATCCGCAGGCACATAGAGTTTAAGGACCATTGATTTGAGTTATAAATTTGATTTGAGGTGCGATGGTAGGGTGGCCAGAGTATTTATGTATTCCCACAGCGTAGATATAACACAAGCCAACGCTCAGACAATGGACACCATCTTGTGTATATTGTTCTCGGTGTTCTAACA